CAGTAGTTTCCCCTTATACTTGTTGACCAAAGGCAAAATATTGTTAAAGATATCACCAGTACAATCAGCAGGCGAATATCATCAAAAAAAACAAGCTGACATGTTTGATCATTGTGGGATAGTTCCCCTAATCCCAAACATCATGTCAATCGTAACTTGTCGTGGAATTGTCCCAAGCAAATTCCCATAATTGCCGTCATGGTTTGCCATTATAACCCCAACATATACCATTGTAATTCTAAATACTTGTAACCCCATGATATATATATATAATGATACGTGTATATATATATATACTGGCTAATGGGATAATTCAATCATTCCCCTCACTAGCTTATGATCATTATCAGGGATACCATTACTAGTGGGAATACACTGTGAGAATAATAATACTCCCCTTTGATATTCCAATAATCAAAAGCCCATTATTTGATATCATATATAATCTATATATTGGTTACCAAAGTCACCCAACACGCCACAATGTTTGGTTGGCATTATTTACTAAGAACTATTCTTATAATCGACATTTACATCCAAGGACCCGTGATCAAAGTCACCAGAACGTTACTGAGAAGTTCTTAGAACCAAGTGCTACTGAATGTTTCTTAGCTCATAATGTGATCATATGTGATCATATGTGATCCATTTCCAAGTTGGATCCCAAAAAGCTATAGCTTCTCTCCGTGAAAATTGGATACATAGCTATTGAAAATCACATTCTATTTTAAATGTCATTGTGGGTTATTAACATTGGTTTGGTGGTTTGGTCTTTATACCAATATGTTTGACTATATTGTATGGGTTCTAGCATAATGCCAATACCAATACCAGTATTATTACTAACATTAATATATATATATATAACAATAACAATGTATGGCTTATACCACTAATATATTTCATGGTCTGTTATAACATATATGTACCAAGAAACCATTGTCATACCAATGTTGTACAATATACCAATAATATGGGCTATACTATAATACCCGTAACATATATGTTATAACAAAATGCCAATGGTTGTAAATGTCATCGATTTTTATGACGTCCAAACTATCCAGGCAGCGTAGGCAGCGCAGCTCCCGCCTCCAATCGCTTTAGCTCATGAGCCTCAACCTGTAACCGGGATCTGAGCGATTTGATCCAACGAAATGAGATTCATTTGACCAGACATGATGATTCAACTTGCAAATGGGGATTACCCTCTGGTAAACTAACATAACTATGGAAAATCACCATTTTTAATGGGAAAATCCACTACAAATGGTCATGTTCAATAGATATGTAACAAATTACCAGAGGGTAAACATGATTAAACATGATTAACTGATGACATCCACAAAGAGTGGATGATTTTTCGCATGCTCGCGTCAGCAAACATTTGCTCAGATGTCTGATCAAAACCATCTTTTAGAACCTTTAGAACAATCCCAGGGTGCCAGAAAAACTTGGCAATGGGAGGCAACCCCATACAGTTTTGGTCCTTTGCCAGTTATAAGTATACTTTGATTTCCATTTATGGAATGTATGATATTGTATAATCCCATTGAAATAGCCAGTTATGAATTCAATATCACATTTATAACCAGTTATGCAGTGTATAATCCCACTTATTTGACGAATCAATGGCCACAACTCTCGTTTTTTCGATCCCGACACCTCCTCCGCTAAAGCATCTTCGCGTGCTTTTCGCTCCCGTGCGCGCCTGGCGCTTCCCAAATCTTCCAAGATTGGGATTGTCTGGTGATTTTATGTGTAGCAAATGGTGATTTCATGTGATTCGCTAATAGAATCTAATAGATTATAACAACATGATATGGCTGATATGGGATTCCAGAATTCACATGAGTCATATTCAAGCCACATTAGCAATGTTCAACCAAATTCAACCTTATCTCAGGCCTTATTGAAGCCTTGCGTTTTGTTGGATTAACAGATTTATCACCAGGACAAGACATGACCAAAAGATTACGGATTCAACTGTAGATGGCCTCTGTTTTCATTTGTGTGTGTTGCGAGTCGGAACATCTTTTGATAGTTTCATCATCCCCAAAGTGAGTTAGAGGCTTATGAAACAACTTATGAAACTTGTATTGTGCTGAATCATTCCACATCGCCAGAGCATTTTCTATCAGAAAAACTCTGAGGGTCAACTCCCCAGTTGGCAGATTCGGTCCGGTGGAACTGGAGAATCCTGGAGGATAGAAAGCCGCAGATATTCTGAGCAAAGCTTGAACAAAACCATAGATTCAATGGATTGGTTTAAGGGATTTTTTAACAGGAACCCCCCATATTTCATGGGAAAATCTATGGTTTCCTGTAGATGTTCCCGTAAACCAATCCATTGATAGGTACCCTGAACACAAACATGGCTGAATTTTCTATCGATATTTCCATTGATCCTCGGAGTTGAATCTGATTTCCTCTCCAAAACAGGATGCCAAAGAAAGGCGATTCTTTGTAGCAAACTTTCCACTTGGATTCAGAGTTTTTTGTGGGATGAAACATGCGTCATCTCAAGTTTTAATGAAATTCGGTATAAATTGGATTTCATAAACCATTATACCCAAATTTATACCCGATTCAATGTTCAAGTTTTGGGTTTATGAAATTGAGTATAAATTGGGCATACCCCCGTTCACAAGGGGATGATGTACAGCATCAAAGACCCATGATGACCCCATGGTTGGTCAATGCCGCCCAAGTGACTGCAACATTTGTTCCATCTCCTCTTGGAAAGCCTAGCAGCGCGCAGCGCTCAGCTTCCAAGTTGGACCCCAGCAGATCAGTGATATTCAGGACATGTCTTCGTATAATACAGTTTTGGATCGTCAAACAATCAGTATAATCAATGGATTGGTTTTAAGGGAAAATCTTAACCGGAAACCAATCCGATTTTCCCATGAAGATCATGGGGGTTTCCTGTAAAAAAAATCCCTTAAACAAATCCATTGATATAAGCTTAAGTAAGATACCCTCTGGTAATTTAACGTAGCTATTGAAAATCACCATGCTATTAATGGGACAATCCACTATTTCTATGGTCATTTTGTCATTTTCAATAGCTATTTTGACATAACCAGAGGGTAATTCTAGATCACCAGATTCAAAGGAGACTTCTTTGGAGACATGTTTGGAGTCTCCAGAGACGCGTCCCATGTCTGGGGCCTGAAAGTCAAATTTTGTGATCATCACTTTTCGCCGTTTCAATATGTTATAGGGCCATTATAGGGAAAACTATAGTATTGATTATAGTATGGAATACCACACGCTTGCCATTTTATAGCACAGTTTAAAGTGTAATATATTACAATATATAATATATCCCTAAAAAAACCATCATAAAAATGGACAAACCCAGATGAAAAAGACGGAAAATGCCCCTCGGCCTCTCTTTCCTTCTTAAACCTCATTGCCTGGCAAAGCTTGATGACGATCGGCAAGCCATAGGGCAGGCATCTCGTCTATACCGGCGAAACAAACTGCAAACTGGAAACCATGGCTCATCTCTTATATGAACATCAATGATGTTACTAGATTATATTTTGAAGCCGCGCGAAGTGGAAAATCACCATAGATGATTTACCTAGCTATTCCTAGCTATCAACGATGGGCGGCCAAGGTCATATTGACCAAAGTCACGATTATGATGCAGACAATTTCCTCATATTACTTGCTAACGTTAAAGTCAAGATTGTTTTTTTTGTCAATGTGTTCTTTGATTCTGAATGAAAACAACTGGCATTAAAACTTTAAACATTGACAATAAAAATAATGGTTTCCATTAAAACAACAATGGGTTCTTTTGTTCTTTGGTTCTCAATAATGGCTTCCATCAAAAATCCATGATGTCATAATGGGTTCCATTAAACCACACATCCATCAGCCCGCAAAGCCGTCCGTCCCTTCGTGCGTCTTTCAATGATCATCTTTGAGGGCCCCGTGACTCCCATGGTTCCCATTTCGTGGATGATGATCATCCCCGTAATATCCTTGTGAAATAACGAGATAACTAATGGTTGATTGGTGGTTTCAACCTCCTCTGAAAAATATGAATTCGTCAGTTGGGATGATGAAATTCCCAATGGAAAAAAAAACCTGTTCCAAACCACCAACCAGTAACTAGTGGTTGAAGCAGTCTGATTGTACTAATATACTACGATATACTAGACTGACTAATCCATGAGCTGGGAATCCCATTCTCAACCAGGGTATCATCATATCATTGGTAGTATGGGCCCCTACAACCAATCAACCAGTGGTTTGGTCATGAATCATCGCGAGATCGTTGTGAAGTAGTTCTCATTTGTCCCTTTTTTCGGGGCAGGGAATCCATCTCGGAAAAACTCCCAATCACGAAAAGGTACTATGTAAAAATCACTCCAATGTTTGAATAGATATATAGTTTAATCCACTTATCCATTTGGTCAATAGACCGGTGCTATCATTCATAAACAACCACCCCTGGTTGGTACCAGCTGGCCACCGGCTGGCACCTCACTTCGGAGGGCTGCAACTTCGTCCTCCTCCAGGGAAAAAATCTCTGAAAGGCCATCAAGTCGCGATCGACAGAAACAACGCGACCGGAACAGCGTTATTTGTTGAGTACGTGGATATATATCTGGTTGGTGGTTTCTATTCGCCCACCAACCCTACACAGGCTAATGGGGGTATTGGTTCCTCCCGGCTCAGTGCCAGGTCTCAATCCCAAAACCGCTTTGGGGGTTCTCCTCAAACCCACGGCCTGGGCTCCCACCTCTCACGCAGCTCAGCGCTGCCTTTTTTGAGGCAAAACGGCTATGCACAAAGGTCCTTGTGCGTGTCATCCTTGCAGCAGGGGCATGTCAACCCTGGGTGCTGGTTACTACATGTTAGGGGCATCTGCACTCCCCCTGGGTGACTATCGCCAGGTAGGCAGCCACCCCTCAGAGAATTGGTGGATGCTCGCTTCTGGTAGCGGAGCACCCCTACAAAACACTGCCCAGCTCAAACCTTCATGATTCCTCAATTTCCAAACATATGTTGCAAATCTGGTACTGTCTGGCATTGGGATGGCAATCACCATCGGCATGATTGGTCCTACCAGGCTCTATACAAAACACTGGTTCTCTCAGTCCCACTCCGTCCGGTGCACAGGCAACGCACCACGGAGACATCGTGAGATTCCGAGAGTTCGCCAGCGTCGGGCAGAACCTATGGGTGTGGAACCTTGTGCCCCACGGCGTGATGATCGGCCTAAACCCCTCATCGCCGCCCTTCTTTCCTTTTCCACCTCCACCATCATCTCGGCTTCCTTTCCCTTTTCCTTTGGCGGCCATCAGGTCACCCTTTCCCACCACGTTGGCCGGCTCTTCGTTTGGGTCGAGCTCGACCTCCATCATCATCCCACCACCCAACAGCGGCATGCTGCTGGTAGCGGAGCTGGCTGCTCCACGGCCAAACCCCAGGTCACATGCCATAGACCTCCGCAGGGGCGATGTGGTTGGCCATGATGTTGATGGTGCCGTCCTTGGTGTCTGTGGGACCCTTGGTGCTGTCGCCTTTGGGGTGTGTGGAATCCTCTGTGTTGAGGATGCTGCTTGGCCTGTTGATGGCCTGCTTGTGGGTGTGTGGCAGGGTAGCCTGGCCATGGCTGCTGCCAGTCTTCCTTCTGCCTCTTCTTCTTCTTCGAGCCTCTGTCGCAGCTCTTCCCGATCTCTTCGGGCTTCTTCCTCTTCTTCTTCTTCTGCTGCCCTCGCTTTCGCCTTCGGCTTCATCTTCGCCTTGGCTGCTCGCCTCTTTGGCTGGGCTTTCGCTTCAGCGGCGTGGCTACTCCTGGCTTCTGCCACTCTTCGCCACAGCGCTTCTTCCTCCTCTCTTTCTTCTTCTTCATCCTTCTGCTGCTGTCTCTCCACATCCCTCGCATGCCGTGCTCGGATGCGGTCTTTCGCCTCTGCTAGGCGGATCCTCACCATCAGCCACTGCACGAAGAACACCGTGCAGCGAATGCACGCCACCAGGCCTAGTGCTGCAAATGCCAGCAGCACCAGGAAGGTCCAGTCAGGACCATATGGCCTTCTTTCTTCATCTCCTGGCTGTGCTTCTGTCTGCGTCAGCTGAGAGATCAGCATGATCATCTGCAGGATCTTTGCTCCTTCTTTGAGCTTCTCCTCTGTCTGGGCCTTGACCTTCATCGTCTTCGCCCCTTCTGTCTTCTCCTCTGTCTCCTCAGCTTTGGCTTCAGCTTTGGCTTCAGCTTTGGCTTGGGCTTCAGCTTTGGCTTCAGCTTTGGCTTCAGCTTTCTCCTTCTTTGGCAGTCCTGCCATGCCTGCCAGCTTCTTCAGGTGTTCAAACCTCTGGGCTGAGAGGGCTTTCGTCCCCATGTCAGAAGGCATCTGTGCCCCTGGGACGTGGATCACCATCCAGTCTGCCTTCTCAATCCTCCATCTCACATTCTTGGCCTTCATTCGGAGGTATCTCGTCCTCCAACTGCCATGGGGGTCAGACAGGATGCTGGTCGCTGCCTGATTGTCTGTGAGTGCTGTGCAGCGGAGCATCTTCTCCTCATCTTCTTTGATCTCCTCCACCACGACTCGAATTGAGTCTCCCAGCACCAATCCTTCCACTATCTCCCCCAGTTCCGCCTCAGCGGTAGACAGGGCAATCGCTCCCTGTTTGCTTGACTTCCAAGCAATGGGTGATCCTCCAACCTTCACGATGGAGCACCCTTGGCAGTCTTCTCCGAAGGAGGCGTCGGTGAAGCTTTGGAGCCCTTCTTCTTCATCTTTGGCTGTGAAGAGCAGGCCATCATCTATTGTGGCTGCGAGGTAGCCCCAAACTTGAGCTGCTACCTGCTTGACCTCTCTCGGTCGCTTCAGGATGTTTGATGCCAGCAGTGAGACTGGATACATCAAGTCCATCCGGCTCCTCGTCACCAGCCACATCAGCTCCCCGACAATCCTCTGTCCTTCACGGACATCTTCAATCTTCTTCTCTTCCTCCTCCGGCCCTGTGAACCACTCTCGGCCCACTGGCACTTTCTTCTTTGGCCATCCTGCTTCATCCTTCCCCAGGTTCCTCTGAAGCAGGTCATAGGTGTACCCTCTCTGGGTGGCCATCCAGTCTCCATTCTTGAGCTTCCATAGCTCCATCCCGAGGAATCTCACCCCGGCTTCATCATCAATCTCTTCTGGTGGGCTTGTCTCCCACAGGCTTCTGATCGTGCCGATCACTGCTTCCAGGGCTTCTGTCTCCCCCAGGATCAACAGATCATCAACGTAGACGACCAGGAGGGCCTTCATCTCACTGGTGTCTTCATCCTTCACCTTCCAGATATTGGGCTCTGAGACCAGGGGCTCTAACCTGAGCTTGACCCCTCTTTCGGTCTGGATCTTCAACCTCCTCATGGTGAAGTCCCGGAAGTCACTCCATCTTCTTGGTGACTCCCTGAAGCCATAGAAGGCTCTCACTGCCTCCCACAGTTCATCAGGCTTGGCGAGTCCCATCTGGATGAGAAACATCGGCGGCTTCACCAGCACTCTGTGTGCTCGGAGCTCCTCTGTCCTTCCTTCCTCTGGCCCTTTTCCTTCTTCCTTCTCCTTCAGCTTCCTTTCTTCTGCCTCCTCATCAAGCTCCATCGGCGCATTCAGGAACGCCGTTCGGATGTCCATTGACTTCCCGGACCATCCTCTTTTGGCTGCTTCATCTACAGCCAGCCGCACGGCTATGGCGTCTGAGCCTGACGCAAAGAGCTCATTCTTGTCAGCTCCTTCAGCCGTCACAAAGTTGCCGCAGGCAACAATTCGGACTTTTCTTTTCCCCTTTGGATTGGTGGGATCAGGCTTCAAGGTGCATACGAGCTTGGACGGAATGATGTCCAACTCGCCCTTCTTCTTCCTCTCCTCCATCTCCTCTGGCGAAACCTTCCTGAGAGCACCCTTCGTCTCAAACAGAGACCTGATCTCATTCTCCACCGCTTCCTTCCATTTGGGGAAGTCCCTTCTGACTTCTTGCATCCCCACCACCTTTGTTTGGAGCACTTCATCTGGAGCTTCCTCCTCTGAAAACTTCCTCAACTTCCAGAGCTCCTTCATGGTGATGTGGACATTGGCTTCGTCATCTTCCATGACTCTGCCCATCTCATCTCGGATCACTTCTTGGATCCTTCTCATCTTCACGCGTCTTTCCTCCTCCTCTTCCTCTTCTTTGGGAGCCTTCAGCTGCCGGACTGTCATCTTGCTTCTTAGCCTTCTTCTCACCTGGACTGGATTGGTCTCATTCTCCAATGCAATCCACTTCTCATTGGTGATGGGCTCTTGGACGTTCTTCATCACCGTCCTTGACAGCCGGTCCCATCCTTGGTCATCACGGATGTAGTGCCCGTGTGACTCCCATGCTGGGAAAAGGTATGTTACCATCTCTTGTGATGGCTCCAGTTCTTGTGATCGCCAGTGGCGCTTCCTCACCAGCACCTTGGCAAAGAATGGCGGCCAAGTGATCTTCTTGTCTTGGCGGGCCACTTGTAGTGCTTCATTGAGGTGTCTTGCGGCCAGCGGCCAATGGTCAACCCCAAGGCCTGCTTGTAGGAGCATGACCCTGATCTTGGCTTTGACTTCTTGGACGGCCCTTTCGCATCGGCCATTACATTGGGGGTCATCTCCAGGCGTCCATGTCTTCAAGATCGCTCTGGCTTCCCACCACTTCTGGAACTTCACGTTGTCAAACTCACCACCTCTGTCGGTGTGAATCTGATTCACCACAAAACCTTCAGACCTCAAGCGGAGGTAGAAGAGCTGCACTGCTCTTACAATGTCCTCAGCGAGCTTCGTCGCTATGGGTAGAACCATCCGGCAGTATCGGATCTTCACCCCGCCATCGTCTTCTTCTTCTTCTTCGCCATCTGTTGGCTTTGGCTGCTTGTGTGTGTGTCTTCTTGTGCTGCTTCGGGCTCTCTCACCCTGCTTGCATCTGCTTGTGCTGCTTCGGGCTCTCTCACCCTGCCAGCGTCTTCTTCGGCCGGCACTCTCGCCGCCTCTTCTTCATCTGTGTCATTGAAGATTCCACCCTCTATGGGCTCTCCTCTCTGTGGCCTCTGGGCCTCTTCTGCCGCTCTCTCGGCATCTCCTTCTTCTTTCCACTTCTTTCTTTCTTCTTCTTTTCTCATCGCCAGGTCATCCTTTCTTGGCCGTCCTCTGGGCCTCTTCTCTGGATCCACCTCCCCATCCCCTTCTTCAAGGTCTGGTGCTTCATCTGGCACTTCCACCTCCTCTTCATCCGGGGCAGGGTGGCCACCGGGTCGTGGATCAATCCACGTGTAGACCCCGACCAGCAGGAACTTGGCGTGAGTTCCTTTGAGAATGTCTTTGGCCCTCTTGAAGGGTCCAGACAGGTCTAGGGAGAGCACCCCTGCTCTGGCATGTCCTGCTTTGCGGTGTGGTGATGCCTTTGCCATGGCTTCTTGGCAAATGCGGCAATCCCTTCTGAAAGGTGTGTGGTTTGCGCGGACGTGCTCGTCCCAGCTGAGTGGTCTCATCTTGGGCTTTATGCCGCAGACCTTCTCCACCACCTGCTCTGCCAGGGCTCTCATCATGCCAGGCGCCCATCGGGCTAACTGCCTTGATTCCTTCAGCAGCTCTTCTGGGGTCTTTCCTTCAACCTCCCTCTTCTTTCCTCCTGGGATCCTTGGTGGAGCTTCCACTTCAATGGTTCCTCCAACCGTCGTCGGCTTGTGAGCCTTGCCTCCCCAATTCCATTGGTCGAAGGTGGACTCCTTGAAGCCATAAATCTTCACCATCATCTTCCAGATCCCAGTCTTCCACCAACTTACTACCTCCTCTTCTTTTGGCACCGCTGGCTGTTCGATGGCGAACTGAGTGGGTGTCTTCACACCGTTCACCTTCCGGACTTCTTCCGCCACGATGAACAGCATGATCATCCTGAGCATCAGGATGTCATCTTCTTCGACCCTCTGCCTCTCCTTTTCGGTGAGATCTTTCCTCCCCCATTCCTGGTCTTCATGCCAACTCCTCAGGGGTCTTGGTCCCCACTCCTTTTCACCGAGAGGCCTGTGCCGCAAGACGCTCCTTGTACGGCAGTTGGGTCCACCCATGACCATCTTCAGCCAACCTTTGAGTGCCAAGCGCAACAGCGCCGGGAATGCCTTGCCTTGAGGCAGCATGTCCCACTTGGGGTCTCGGAGACTGTCCACCTCGAGGACCAAACTCTTGTCTCCCCCCACTTCATGAAAGGCACGTCTGAACGTGTACCCTTCGTCTTCACCTGCATAGAGATGCAGAATGAGGCCTTCTTTAGCCCACTTCTTCCTCTGTCTTCGATTGCCACACATGGCAACATCATCTGTTGGTGGTTCGAGGATCTTCTTCCTCAGATCTTCTGGGATTTTCCTGAAGGCTGGGTGCTCCTTCAGGATCCTTTGTAACCATTCCATCTCCTCATGCTTTGCTTGTTGCTCCTCCTGCTCATGTAGTGTCTTCGGTCTGATGGACCGGACCTTCTCCTCGATCTCCTCGATGAGCATCAGGGCGTCGTCTCTTGAAACTTCAGGGCATCCTCCACGAAGAACCACCTCCAGTTTCCCTTTCTTGGGATGTGTCACACAGACTTCATCTTCATCCCAGGAAACCCTACATCCCAGAAGATCTACCACCATTCCCATTGGCACGATTGGCTCTGTGCCTGGGTTCTTGGCCACCATGATGCCTTCCTTGGTCACATGGAGTGTGGCCTCCTTTCCTCCGGCTAGGGAGACTGTCACCTCCTTGTAGCCCTTCATCTTCTCTCCTTCGCGCCTCCCCCTCAATGGGTGAGTTGCGCCTGAGTCCAAGAGGCCTCTGGCACCTCCTTCTTGAAGCCTTGCCAGTCTGAGGACCTTGACGGACTTCAGCTCATCCAGCTGCTTCTGGAGCTGGTCAATCTTCGTCTCCTTGTTGCTGTCTGCTTCTTTGGTGATCTTTCTGAGCATCCTGTTGGCTTCTTCCATCAACTCCTTGATCACCTGTCCTTTGCCATTCTCGGCATCTTGATCTTCTCTCTTTGGCTTCTCTTCTTCTTTCTCTTTCTTCCCATCTGGGGAATCTTCATCTTTCTTCTTCAAGCTTCGTGCACCCTTTCCTTCACCCTTGGACTCCTTCTGCCCTTCGGGGTTTCTGAACGAAGGTCTTGGGCACTTGTCTGCAAAGTGGTCCTTTCCACCGCAGTTCCAGCACCTCTTCTGGTCATCAACCTGGTGCTGCCATTGGCAATCTTTGCCCTTCTTACAGCCGTGTTCCGTCAGGAAGAAACGGCAAACGTCTCCGGGTCTGGCATCCTTGCCTTTCCCATCTCCTTTGTATCCTCCACCAGCCTCCTTCCCTTCGAGCTTCTTCAGCCTGGGCTCCTGCTTCAGGGGGTTCTGCTCTCTCGGGGGGGTTGCCTTCTTAGGCATGCCGGTGTGGGGGTCAAGGTGTGCTATCTGCTCTAACTCGGCCATCAGGTGCGTTGCAAATGCACCAACCGACTTGGAAGTTGGGTTGCTGTCAACCTGAAGGTTGTTCCTTGCCAGGCTCACTCTGAAGCTCAGCTCCTTGTTCATCTCGAGGCTCTTCTTGACCACCTTGCCAAGCCCCTTTAGCAAGATGAACGGGTCCGGCTCGGACACAGCCAACTCACCTGCTCTTCTTCTCCATCTCATCCACTTCCGGAGCCCTTGCAGTGCGTCTGGCACCGTCTGTGCTTCAGGCGGGTTCTCCAGATTGGAGAGGATGACTTCCTTCTCAGCCAATCCTCCTGGCTGATATGTCACCAGCAGGTGACACAACACCTTCATCGCTGTCAGGCGTTTGGCGCTCACCAGCTCCTCACGTTGTGCCTCTGGCACCGCCTGCAGCATCATCATACTTGCACGGCGCTCAAGCCGCGTCCATCTTGGGTCTTCCAGCTCTTTGCTGGGAAGGGCTTCATGATGGATCCTTTCCATCGGGGACATCTGTTGGTGGGTGGCATACCATGCCTGGGCTTCTTGGACCAGCAGCTGCCACCACTTCTGGCTCGTCGCTGTGAGGTCTGACATCACGGGGTCCACCAACGACAGCCAGTCATTCAGGTCAATGGGGGCATTGACATGATGCCATGGTGGGAGACGAGGCAGTTCTGGCTGTCCCCGCACCCATTCCACACCTCCTGCCAATCCCTTCTCCTCATCCTTATCCTTCAGCTCTCTCTCGAGCATCCTCTTCTGAATCTCCTGCATGTTCCTCATCATTGCCAAGAGTGCCTTCATGGACATCTCTCTTTCCTCTTCCTTAATTCCACCACCCGCTCCTCCATCTCTGCCTCCGGTCTTGACCTCCTCACTTCTGGGCTCCTCTGGCGTGGCGAAGGGATCTTCCGGGGGTGAAGGCGGCGTGTGGATGGCGATCTCATGGGGCGGACACGGTGTCTTCATCCACCTGTCCTCAACATCAACTCCTGGTGGGGGCGTCGGCCTTCTTCCCTCAGTTGGGGGTCTCAGCCTCCTTTCATCTTCTGGGGGTCTCAGCCTCCTCAAGTCTTCAACCACCCTGCGAAGCTCGGCGTTCTCTGAGCGCCAGTGAGCTTCGTTCTCAGCGGTCTCCATCAACATCTTCTGCAGCAAGGTCTTCTCTTCCTGCTGCTCTGCCATTCGAAGCTTCACATCATCCATGAAGCCATTCATCCTATCGAGTTCTCGCTCGTAGGACTTCATCTCCTCAACCCTGGGGATGCTCTGTGCGTCCTCCAGGAACTTCTCAACCCTGGGGATGCTCTGTGCGTCCTCCAGGAACTTCGGCCTTGCAGCCTCTTCACATTCTCTTCTGGCCCGTGCTGTGTCCAGAAGTGGGGCTTGGGCTCGCAGCGCATCCATCTTGGCTGCTTGCTCAGGGGTGAACAGCGGCCCAAAGGACTGAGGCTTCCCCCTTGGTCCCATGACTGCTACTTCTTTGGGGGTCTCTGTGACCTTCCCTCCCCTTGCCGTTGGTGTGAAAAACGACCTCCCTGGCGTCTCCCCACCCACAACACCCTCTCCTCCATTTGGCACCACACTCCCGCCAGTCCTCGGGGCTTCTGTCGTCCTCGAGGCTCCTTCATCAACTCCCTTTTGGGCGTCCTCTGTGGCTTCACCCGGGAAATCTTTTGGTCTTGCTCCCGTCTGGGCGTCTTCCTTGGCTTCACCGGTTCGGGCAGCGGTTCTTACTCCCAGCTGGGCGTCCTCCTTGGCTTCACCCTTTGGGAAATCTTTCAATCTTGCTCCCGTCTGGGCGTCCTCCTTGGCTTCACCTTTTCGGGCAGCATCAGCGGCGTCTTCAATCGCCATCAGTCTTCTTCCATCACCTTCGCGGGCTTTGGAATCGGCTCCCTCTTGGGATCCATGATCGGGCCCTTCAGCACCCTCAGCAGGTTGGGGCTCCGATCTCCTTCTCCGTACATCCATGGCGTCAGGTTGGGCTCGTAACCTATTCGCCCACCAACCCTACACAGGCTAATGGGGGTATTGGTTCCTCCCGGCTCAGTGCCAGGTCTCAATCCCAAAACCGCTTTGGGGGTTCTCCTCAAACCCACGGCCTGGGCTCCCACCTCTCACGCAGCTCAGCGCTTCCTTTTTTGAGGCAAAACGGCTTGAGCCAAAGGTCCTTGTGCGTGTCATCCTTGCAGCAGGGGCATGTCAACCCTGGGTGCTGGTTACTACATGTTAGGGGAATCTGCAGTTTCAACCCCTCTGAAAAATATTAGTCAAATTGGATGATTCTTCCCAATATATGGAAACATAAAAAATGTTCCAAACCACCACCCATATAAATATATATTCATGTATAAATATGCTTATTAAGGTGCATAGATATTGTAATTGTATGTAATTGTACACCTGTTGCTTAGACTATTCAATCCATGGATCAATATTGTAACATTGACTCCGTTATTAAACATCTGGATGAAATCTCAAATCATTCACTACCCTGAAACCCAAAAAAGGGTGTGGTTCCCATTACAAAAAACTTCATGTATAGCGATGTCATGGTCAAAACTTGAGACCGTTGCTACTGATTTGGTCATTTTCCTCATAATATACTTCATCCAGGGTGGTGCCCGCAGTTATAAATTGATATAAATTGGTTATAAGCCCATTAACTATAGATATATCGTGATATGTATATATATATGTATATATATATGTATATATATATATATATGTATATATATATATATGTATATATGTGTATATATATATATGTATATATGTATATATATATATGTATGTGTATATATATATATGTATATATATATATATATCACCTACAAACCATAGTTATTGGAGTTATAAACCAACTTAGCATGTTCTTCTTACATCCACCTGGGAAGGGTTTTCAGACACGGCGACCTTGTGGTAGGGTCGAAGCCTCGGCCCAGATCTCGCGTCTTCTGAACATGGCACCTGTAAAAAAAAAACAAACCATGTCAGTTCAATTTCATGAAAAAATCCTATCTCACATAGGTTATATTATACCAGGATGATATATGATATATCTATATATATATATATGATATCCAGGTTCATTGCCATATAATTCTCAGTTTTTTGGGGTAAAGTATCATTTCTGCTGGTGAAACCTCCGATCATGTACACCCCAAAAACACCCCATGTGGAACCCCAAAATGGCCATGCCAAGCGCCGCGGGATGGCCATGTTCCACATCCACATGGGCCCCATGTCTTTGAATGACAATATTATCTATATTAATGTGGTTATCAAACAATCGGTTACTATATGGTTAGTAGGTTATATAATATATGGTTAATATATTATGGTTAATGATGATTCATAATAATCTGGTTGGTGGTACCCCTCTAAAAAATGATGGAGTTCGTCAGTTGGGATGATGACATTCCCAATTAATATGGAAAGTCATAAAATTCATGTTCCAAACCACCAACCAGCTAGTTTTGCATATGATTTGTTATTTTGATTCCCTTTTATTTGGGTTGCTGCAAATAAACGTCACCAAAAACTCCCCAGAGCAAATTTGAGGGATTTAGTGACTGGGTGATGTTCTTCTCGTTGTACCTTGCTTGTAAAACCCAATTGGCGGTTTCTTCAAATGGGGGATCCCCAAGTCACCAGGGTTGTTTCAATACATTTCAATGCTCATCCATGACGACTGGATGATTTGGTACCCCCATAACAAGACGGAAACCTCCAATTTACAAGCATAGTCTAATCATCATGGCTTCATTTATAGCATATTAACGATGATATATAATATGAGTCCATATTAGGTATAACCATATTAGGAATATCCCCTTCATTGTCATGGTAACCATATGATATCCATATGATATATGAACATATATGGTGATACTTCCACCATCCGACATCATCATTACCACGTGACTCCACCGAGGCCTTTGACTCTTCCGCCTGCAACCACGACGCCAGGAGAAAACATGATAAGCAACATAAAAAAAAAATATACCGCCGGTATATAGCATGATTTCATCAGAAAATGGTTGTTGAACCAAAAATAATGCGGAAGAATGGTGATGTAGCCGGAAAAAAAACACTGTCAAACACTGTGCTTCAAACCCAAAGAACAATAAATTCTGGTGATTGTTTCACTAAATCATGATTTTTAAGGGGGCAATTCTTGTGAATCAAATCTAAGGGTGAAATGATTGGAGTGAAATTGTGTGACCCATACTGATGTGCAGAAACAAACCCCCAACTATCCTCTTTCTGGAAAAACATGTTTGTTCGACAAATATCACTTTTTCTCTCCTGGCAACTGATTCTTTGCAAAAATGAAAACACTGATATTTTAGTGTCGAATTTAATCAACTGCAACACATGCGACTTGTTGGGGTTACTGCAGATCGGAATTGATCGATTGATGGTACTATTTCATGCTGTGCAGAGTTTGTTCACCATTCGCCGAATGGATTACTAATTCTTGATGATCTGTCTGTCATATGATTATGAACAACCATGAGTATAACAAAATGACTATTTCCATATATGACTAATGAGAATTGACATGTGTAGAAATAATTACTATGTATTATGAAATTATGACTCATTGACTCATGAGAATTGAAATGTATAGAAAACTTACTATTATATACTATTGTACTATATCACAACGCCACATATTTTACGGAATGAGCAAGATGAGTGGCCATCAACCACCGACGCCTGTCGAGGCAAGAGCACCGTCCGTCCACGGGGCGGGGGCGTGGCCGGCGTCGCCGGCCTAGCCTGGTACCACGGATGTTTCATGATGTTTTGGAACGGATTTGGGGGTTGGTTGTTTTATGTTGTTTTATATGATGTATGTTTGATGTTATTTATCTGATTTCCACTAATAAAACACCATTTGAGCAAATTTGAACATCTTCAAATCAATCCGTTGATCATTTTGAGGGTTGGTTAGCCACTAGTAAACCAACAGCTACGGAAAACCAGCATGTTTAACAGCGAATTCATCTAAGTACATCTTCCATGTGTTTTCATCCATGTTCATTTTCCAAACGGTTCAATTCCACCAGTTTTCCACAGGGGAACAGCTTTCTTTAGGGCCTCTGAGGAGATGGGTCTTGGAGCTTTGACCTGGGTGGACATGTTTCGGTGAAAATCGGTGAAAATGCTTAGGTAACCATAAGACACCAATCAAAAACATGGTGATTGCTGAATTTTGTGGTTGAATATATCAAAAATGTCTTGTGATTGCTGAATTTTGTGAATATCGTGGTCTAATACTAAGCACCCCTTAGATGGTTCCAATTGTGTGTGCATCCCCATGGTTTCTATGGGGTGTCTAATATTAGGGAGACGGGATTGAAGCCCCAAATATCCTAGACATTGATGTGAACAGGGGGAAATCATATTACAAATCTACACATATTTGTAGAGTTGATTTCTGCTGAACGAACCATAACATAGTGAGGTGAAACTGGATGGCCATGGGAGTCATCGATCTACCCATCAACAAAGGCAGCTTCCAAATTGACAAACCAAACCAATACGTTGGGTCCGAGCATGTTGCTTGGTGGTTTCACAAAAGGGGAACACATACAACATTCATGATGAATGTGATTGAATATAGCTTTTCTCCCAATCAATCACACCTAGAAAGCTGCTTTAAGCAGTGGAGTTCTAGTTCCCTCTGATTGTTGAGACTCAGGTGGTTCATGTTTGGCGTTTTTCCTCTAACTCCATCGTTACTTACAGTAGGCTTTTTGTGGCCATATCAATCTTCCTCACACATCTTGATCAAGCCCCGATGAGCCCCCTACCTTTTTGATCACCTCTGGTGCAGCTTTCTTCTTCTCAACCTGGCCGACTCCCCCAACAAAAACCACCAAAAACCCTGGTAAGAAGTAGGGGATGAAATCACACATTCCTGGGACCATAGAATGTGTAGAATGGGGTTGCTGAATATTGGGGAGATGGGTTTAAGCTAGGATCGTTGGATTCAATAATCAGTTGATAACGAAAAACACCACCTTGATTTGATGATGCAAAACCCATTGATGCAAAACTCCTGAACTTAAAATCATTGGATTGATTGATGCAAACATCTTGCAGGAAAACATGTGTTTTTTCCATTTAAGTATGGTTTGATTCGTACGTGTTCACTTCTAATTCACACATATACAGCCATGTTGGGATTCCCCCCTAAACAGTATTTATTGTGAGGTTGCTGTAACGTCGCTATAGATTGCCAAATACATTGGCATAATTTTGGTATCTCAGTATGGGTTCAAAATTGTGGTCTTGTTGGCTATTGGTTGCCCATTCTTATATCTTGTGCTGACTTCTCTTGGCTCGCAAATTTACGGTCCCAAGATCAAGCAGTTTTTGGCTTCCCACTACCCGAACGCATATACAAAACCACAGAAATATGGTGCAAGATGGTGCAAATATCAGCATCTCCGATATTGGATTGGAGTAAATAAATAAATAAATATATATATATATATGTATATATATATAATGTGTACATATATATATGTATATATATAATGTGTGTGTATATATATATATATAATGTGTATATATATATAATGTGTATATATATATATGTACACATTACATAATATATATATACATACATAGACATACACCCAGTTTCTGCTTAACAACCCCCTCAAAAATTAGACAACTATCCTCTGCCTCAGGCTCAACCTGCAACATCTTAATTATCAGACACACCCAAATGGTGAACAACTGGGTTTGAAGCACCGGTTCTAAGTGGTTAAGTGGCTTACAAGTGACAAGTGGATACACGTGGGCTATGAGCCAATCACAGACATGACTGAGATATTCAGGGATATCCGATCCTCCTACCAAGCATCCAACCAGCCATTCCCCAATCACTTGCCCACCTAAATCACCCAGTCTACTGCCAGTTGAACCCTGACTGTTGTTATACTCAAGTCGTTGTTGGTCAAGATCTTCCCTTGAAGTTCCCCGGAGTCCTGGACCTGGATTCTTTAAAAGGGATGCCATTTAAGGGGTGCCTTTAATCCTGATTCTTGCAGATCAACCAAGCTCCAACCTTAGTTCATCTACTTGGAGGATCATCCCAGTGATCGCGGCTGTGGCTAAAAGCCCGCTCGTGATAGAAAAAGTAGCTATTCACTGTGAGTTTATCATAGTTTATCCCATTTATATGTGGGTTATAATCCCAGTTGCAAACCAGTTACAAAGTGGATTGTATCCACTTAAATCCCCATATTTTCAAAGTTAAAATCCCTGCGAAGTCGCATATATAATCGTCAACCAACAGGGGTTCCAAGATCTTCCAAGTACAGTACCCTCTGGTAATTTAACATAGCTATTGAAAATGGCCATAGAAATAGTTGATTTTCCCATTAATAGCATGGTGGATCTTTCCATAGTTATGTTAGTATGTTTACCAGAGGGTAAACCTCCATTTTCCTATGGTTTTCCTATGGTTTTCCCATTTTCCCATGGTTTTCCTATGGTTTTCCCATTTTCCCCATGGTTTTCCTATGGTTTTCCCTTCAACCCATCCCATCCCCTCACCTCCACCCTACGTTCCTTGCCGGCACCGCTTGTGCCGCTTGTGCCGCCGGCGCCACCGCTGGACACCAGCCGCACCGAGCCCCGAGACACGGTGACCACGGCACCGGCGCCGTTGGTGGCGCCGTCATTGCGAGCCACTAAGCCTCGGACAGCGCCAAGTCAAATTCGACCAACATTTAGTACATCATTTTTCCATTATTATACAATACATAATAATACCCTCTGGTAAATTAACATAGCTATGGAAAATCACCATGATTAATGGGAAAATTCACTATGATTGGATTGGTTTAAGGGATTTTTTACAGGAAACCAGAGTTATTTTCCCATGAAGATCATGGGGTTTTCCTGTAAATTTTCCCTTAAACCAATCCATTGAATTTAGTACATCATTTTTCCATTACCCATAGGATCCATGGTGCTGGTATATATGCTAACATGAATGGGGTATATTGATGGGATCCATGTTACCATATATAGCATACATGGATCCTATGGGTTATTAATACAATACATATCTGGTTGGTGGTTTCAACCCCTCTGAAAAATATTAGTCAGTTGGTATTATTTTTCCCAATATATGGGAAAATAAAATTACTTTACTTCGTGTGATCCCCACCATGACATTTATACATTTTCTTACTGGCAAATCTTCTGGCATTCTATCTGACATATCTTCTGACATTCTATTTGGCATTCTGTCTAGCATATCTTCTGGCATTCTATCTGGCAAATCTTCTGGCATTCTATCTGGCATATCTTCTGGCATTCTATCTGACATATCTTCTGGCATTCTATCTGGCATTCTATCTGGCATATCTTTCTGGCATATATTCTGACATATCTTCTGGCATTCTATCTGGCATATCTTCTGGCATTTCTTCTGGCATATCTATCTGGCATATCTTCTGGCATATTTTCTGGCATTCTATCTTCTGGCATTCTATCTGGCAAATCTTCTGGCATTCTATCTGGCATATCTTCTGGCATTCTATCTGGCATATCTTCTGACATTCTGTCTGGTATATCTTCTGGCATTCTATCTGGCATATCTTCTGGCATTCTATCTGGCATATCTCATGGCATTTTATCTGGCATATCTTCTGACATTCTATCTGGCATATCTTCTGACATTCTTTCTGGCATATCTTCTGACATTCTGTCTGGCATATCTTCTGACATTCTATCTGACATATCTTCTGACATTCTATCTGACATCTTTTCTGACATTCTTGCCGTTGAGGTCCGGCAGTGCCCACTGCGATCTGGAAGTCGCGGTTGAGGTCCGGCAGGGAACACTGGGCGTGGATGGTCGTGGTTGAGGTCCGGCAGGGAACACTGGGCGTGGCTGGTCGTGGTTGAGGTCCGGCAGGGAACACTGGGCGTGGGTGGTCGTGGTTGAGGTCCGGCAGAGAACACTGTGGATCGCGGGTCGCAGTTGAGCAAGGACGACGAGGACGACGAGGACGACAAGGACGACAAGGATGACAAGGAGGACGAGGAGGAGGAGGAGCAGGAGGAGGCGGAGGACGAGGAGGAGGAGGAGCAGGAGGAGGAGGAGCAGGAGGAGGAGGCAACTGACATAAAATCTAACAACCCTCACCTGGCAGGTGGGGAATTCATGTTCCAAACCACCAACCAGATATTAATCCCTTCCCATATGTCCATCATTTTTCACAAGATTTTTCCACCTGCCAAGTGACGCGCCCTCGGTGCCGCACTGCGCGCCCGCTCCGTGATCACCTTGGCGAGGCCGCGCTGCACGACCCGTGGGCTCGACGCAGGGCTCTGCACCACACGGGAAGCTGAGACCACGGTGCGCGCCGGAGCAGAGACCACCTGCCAGGAAGTGGTGAAAATTGTCCCAGAAATAACCAGATTATATGGACTTATATTTGTATATACATATATATATAGTTATACCTATGTATATATACATATATATATATAGAGAGAGAAAAATATTTTTTTCTGAGGGGTTATTATATGGTCTTTGGTGCACATCTGATAAATATATGCTTATGTGACCATTTGATTATCATGGTGCAACGTGGTGCGCATATATATCTATATAATATATTATTTTGTATTTGGGGATTGGGGATTGACATATAAAATATTGGTGTTTCTTAAAATGGCGGATGCCCAAATCACCATGGTTGTTGACCTATACTAAGTCCCCCAATAACTTAGGACACCTCCATGTACAAGCATATTGTATAATCATCCTGGATTCAAAGCTATAACCATATGATATATAAGCATATGTGATTCAACTATCCTGGTGCAACGTAGATCATATGGTTATATCAATGCTTTTGGATATTCTTGTTTTATTGAAACCAGGAAGAACATTGGTGAAAACATGGTTTATGATTTCCAAACTTTGGGTAATAGAGATATAAATAGTGTTTAACAAGGATCTCAATAAACATATTATTACTGTAGTAAGTAGTGGGATCCCAATTACTGAGTCAGCAAGAACCGGATTTTGTTTATCAAGTTATACAGGGTATACCCCACTTATATATGGGTTATTAATCATTTACTAAGTGGGATGCACTCCAAAAGTTCATCATGGGGCTGCTGATTCCTCGGTACCGTTTTCTCTTTTGTCCAGCTAAATTTCTACAAAAAAGTCTATGTTGAAGGTGTTGGGACTGGTGTTGGGGCATGTTGGTGTATCATGGTATCATGGGGTTAATTACTTTAAACGGTTCATCTAGATTCTTGGTTGTTTCAACTTTTGAGAAACAAAAATAACCAATGAAAATCAATAAACCGTTCTTTTGAACGAGAAAAGACACAATAACCACAAATTTAAAAGGGTTTCAGACAGGGTTGGGCCTAGGGTTGGTTTAAACGGTTTAAACATTTTTTTGTTTAAACGATGTTTAAACCAAAAATGTTTAAACCATTCCGGGTAGTAGGGGTGACATTCGGAATTCCTTTAAACATGTTTAAACACTATGTTTAAACATGTTTAAACGAATTCCATGACCCAAACGCAGGAGATCATGCTCGCTGTGCTCATCAAAATGGCCACAAGTTTCAACTTATCAACGATGCACCAGCAAGATTTGCTGCAAGCCAATCAATTCTATGTATGGATACCTTGCGCAGACGAATGTCGGTCAAGCTGCACTTTTTTCTGGGCGTGAGTTTTCAGTTGTCAGTTGGTGTGCGCTAGCATCCACTGGAGAAGAGGTTGGTCCCAAGAGTCAGGCCAGGAGCCGAAGTCAACTGTGTACAAACTAATGCACCAAGGTCGCGTCACAAAGCGGACCAGCAGCGCAGCGAAGCCGGCTCCAAAGGCCCTTGCTCGTGCACGTGACCGGAAGGTCACCCACCATCGCGCGTCCACTGAACCCTCGGGAGGGTAATTTGACAGAACGACCATGTACATTTCGGTTTCGAATCTGTAGCTCGAGCAATCACCAGCTACGGTGTTGAAGTGAAACTTCAAGGCATGCACAAAAAACAACAGAGCGGCACTTTCATTGGAACTTGGACATTGGCTCAGACAAGGATTCTGGGCTTTGATTGTTTTAAGTGGCGCTCACTGCTCCAGGGGTGACACATAGAGAGGTGGTGCAGCTTTTGCTGGACCTTAATCCACATCGACAACGGCTTTTTGACGCTGTCTGAAATCTAACACAGTTGGCAAATTCATTTGGGAAGCGACCAAGCGGCTCAGGCGGTCGGGATCCATATTTCCACAGGACTGCAAGTCTCTCTGCCTCCGAGGGAGAAGAGGCGCTCTGTACTAGCTTGGCTGGCAGGGATGGAAAGAAAATACCTGGCTGGCAAAGCTAGCTTCGGCAAGTCTTTCACGCCAACAGATTTCCACCACTTCAACGGAGCCAGGCCTGAATCACCAGATGAAGACAGCAAGTAAGCGTAGCACTCATTGCGCAATGCAGTGTGGAACTCTGTCCAGGTTGTCTTCTCTTCGGCTGGCTCCGCAGGCGCTGGATCTTTCCGAGAGCTGCTGCAAGCACTGAATCTTGAAAAGAATACATCTGTTTTCTGTTTTGCAGGAGAAATGGGAACATCTTTCAAATCGGAGGTGTCAGGCGGAGCTTCAAACATCTGCTTGTAGACCTTGAGGCAAAGGGCGACCAAGTTGGCATTGACCTTTTTGCGGGCAGCAACTGCTCTCTCATCTTTGTCATCGTTGCTGTGCCCAGGCAGCCAGCCCAAGTCCTTAAACTTGGGATCAAACTGGGCTGCAGCAATCAAGAGCTCACGGACGTCAGAGGTAAGCTCACTCATGTACCCCACGTATTCAGAACTCAGATTTGCACGCAACTCCTTGGCCTCCGAAGTCAAAGCGTCTTGCCCGCAGGGCTTATCCTCCCCAGTTTCTTGAGGCAGCCAGATTTGTGTCTGTGGTAGCAAAGACGTTTGCACCGCACACAAGGCAGGGAAGTACAAACTGGCTGTTGGATACTTAGCTCCTTGAATCAACTCTGTGGCTGTGGCAATCGGGTTAAGCACACCAATGCATTGCTGAAGCTGAAGGAAATGTAGCTGGGACCAACCAGGAAGCTTTGTGGGATGCCTCTCTTTGTATTGTAGCAACGCTTTCTGCTTGCGCCTCGAAAAGCAAAGCGGGCAAGTTGCAGTTGGATTTCGTTTAAACATGTTTAAACACCGTGTTTAAACGTGTTTAAACGTAACTAATCATCATCAACCCTATGGTTTTCGTTTAAACATGTTTAAACACCGTGTTTAAACATGTTTAAACGCAACTAATTATCATCAGCCCTATGGTTTTCGTTTAAACCTGTTTAAACATTAGGTTTAAACATGTGAAAACGATTTCCGAATCCGATTTGCTCAAACCTTTTCGATCGTATGTGCTAAAAGAAAGATACCCCTATGTGGCTGAACTTTCAAAGGAAACATTTCAAGTTTCACGTTTGTCAGGCGAGTGACCAAACGCTCGTCATCAGCTCCAACGTGCTGTTCCAGCGTGTCTCCGTGTCCTGGATAAACTTCAAGTCGTTCTCTTTGGTTTCCGCACAAATCTCCAAAAGTTGCTTCCAACCCTTGACGCTCATGTGGAAGTGCTGTACGGTCGCTCTGCACATCTTCACGAGCTCCAGCACGGCTGCATTGCCGCCATACTTTTCCCGCTGCTTCTCTGGGTCCCTTGCTTTGAGCAGCTGGTGTTTAGGCGGTAACTGCAGGTTGTGAGCAGCGCAAGGAACATGCAACCCTACAAAGTTGCCGTGGCACTTTTCGGTTGTTGCAGCCACAACTTCTTGGCAAGCTTTCTTCACAGCCGCTTCTCCATCAGTGGTCAAGGTACCACGTCGATTCTCATGGATCTGCAGGGATGAAACGTGGATGACTTCCCCTTTAATGCCGGTGGTGACCTGGTCAAACATTCCTAGTCCTATTCCTATTCCGTGGAACTTTGGGGTCCTAGTTATGCCCCCGTGAAACTGCTATTATGATGGGAATACAATGGGAATCTACTTATGGTGGGACTACAATGGGATTATGATGGGAATGCAATGGGAATCTACTTGCGATGGGAATATAATGGGATTATGATGGGAATATCATGGGATTATGAAAGGAATGCAATGGGAATCTACTTGTGATGGGAATATAATGGGATTATGATGGGAATACAATGGGAATCTACTTGTGATGGGAATATAATGGGATTATGATGGGAATGCAATGGGAATCTACTTGTGATGGGAACTCCTAACTGCGGGGTCCTAGTTCTACTCCTACGTACTTTTACCACTCCAAACTCCATTCCGGAAACAGCTCCACTCTACCTCTGAGATTTCTGGAAAGTTCACTTCCTTATTTTTTTAAAAAGGATCAAACACATTTTCTCCCCGCCCGGCCGCAAACAGCTTGAAAACCTCGAGGATCTGCTCTCTTTGATTGGTGGCAGTCTTCGCTTCTGTCCACAAAGTCATATCAAGGCACACAGTGAACATTTCAAACGAGGGCGAAATCCAGCTCACAATATGCCCCATGAATTGATCGGAGGAGAAAGAAGCTGTCCAAAGGTCACACGCATAATGCAAACACGTGGTCTTGTCTTGCCATAGAACTTCTTGCAGCATAGAGCGCACATCCTGCAAGCAACACCCAGCCAATCACAACCCACAACAGCAAGGGCCCTTACCTCATTATTTTCGTTTAAACATGTTTAAACCTAATGTTTAAACATGTTTAAACGAAACTAATCATCATCACTCCTATGGTTTTCGTTTAAACATGTTTAAACATTAGGTTTAAACATGTTTAAACGATTTCCGAATCCGATTTGCTCAACAGATTCAAGACAGCTTTGCCCATCCTCTTCGAGGTGATCCAGCACTCTAGGCAGAACTTTGGACGACATCTTCTTCCGAGAACAGAAGTGGAACCTGGCATCGAGCTCGTGACAAAACTCTCTGAAGCCTTCGTGCTCGCACAACGACACAGGCTGACCATGTTTCACCAGAACTCGCTCAGCAAAGAAATCCAAGAGCTTTTCGTTTCTCGACTTCGGGTGCTTCATGTGAGAAAGAATTGATGGCTGCCCCGACTGCTCAGCAACAGTGGCCTTGGAAATGCCATGCTTCTCAAGATGTCGCTGCATTGGATTCATGGCTGCGTTTTTCAAATAGATTTTGCCTTCTTTCGCATCCACTGTCCCTCTCTTCCCTGAACAGCACACATTGCAAAAGAAAATCTTTTCCCATCCAACTTCGCACTCCTTTCTGAGATGGAAGTGATTGTAGAGCCATGAGCGCTTGCCTTCCAAAACTAATCTTTCTACATCTTCAGCATGCACAGGGCCTTGGGGCTCAGCAGCTGCACGGGCCCTCTTCAAGCCCCTTGCTGACACATGCGCTTTAGCTTGTGCCTCCTTGGGAGGCATTTCAGCTAGTGGTGGCTTGCGCCAAAAAGAACTACGGCCACAAGAAAAACATCGCACTGACTCCAGAATGAAGCACTCAGAAATCTGTTCGTGACATGTATATCCAAAGTGCCCGTGGGGCAACTGTTTAAACGTTTAAACATTTCCGGGGTCATGGCTGTAAACGTGTTTAAACGGTTTGAAGTTTAAACGGTTTAATGTTTAAACGTGTTTGGACCCACTCTGGTTTCAGAGGTGTTCTTGTATTTGGTACCTTGAAAAAAAAGGAATTGGAGAGGTTGATGCGGAAATGCCCAATATGTATATATTATAGTCAGTAATAGAACATTGGTCAAATAACCAAGGATCATCCCACTTAACTACTTAGTAGCCATAGTTCGTTCCACTTGACTCACGAGACTTACTAACCAGTTTTTCTTTCCAGTTCCTCCAACTATGAATTTGGTTTATAATGGCGATTGATCCCCATGCCTGTTAAATCTCATTGAGTCCATTGAGAAATATCATTAAATCCCGTTAAATCAATGGGAATTCCAGGATCCTAAAATGGAGGTACTGTACCATATAAGGCCATATGAATTGTGGGGATATTCCCTGAACAATAGCCCTGAAAAATAGGCCAAAAATATATGGAACCGGTACCTCCAATGAATCGGTTCCTGTTGCATGGCCATTGATGAAATCCCATCACAAAATCCTGTTGAATCCCAACCCCATTGATACCCTCTGGTAATTTAACATAGCTATTGAAAATCACCATTTATAGTGAATTTTCCCATTGAAAATGGTGATTTTCCATAGTTATGTTAAATTACCAGAGGGTAAATGGTATGGTCAATCCAATGTCCATTCTTCAAAACAATGCTGTAACATAAAACCATACACCGACACCATCCCCAAGTCATCACCATTTTTACAGCTGGGGTTTCAACCATCCCCACATTTTTCGTCTATTATTTTTGGTTATACACCTATGATGAACCATAATTCATCATTATACACCATGGTTAAACCCATGAAAGTGTCAGTAAAACAAGAATCAACCATTCATATGTTGATGGTTATATACCATCCATTTATGGTCAATTTGGGGATGATTTACTATTGCTTTATTAACATTATATCCCAACAATATGATACCAGTATTCCCAAAAAAATCCCAATACACAATGCCATAGTCCCAATAAACCATGGTTAAACCCATTATTAATCATTGTCAACCTAACATAATGGTTAATCCCAATAATGGTTAATCCTAACATTAGGGTTTCGGTTAATCCCAGTAACCATTATTAACCATTAATCAACCTAAACCCTAATCCTAAAACATACCCTCTGGTAAATTAACATAGACCCTGGCAGATAGAGGTTGGAAGATTAGTTTCCATTAAAAATTGGTGATTTTCAGGGTCTATGTTTATTTACCAGAGGGTAATTCCAAGTTATTTTTCATCTTTTGTCAACATTACCCCCGAGTCGGCCCGTGCACCCGCGAAGCTGTCCGGGACGTGGACGTGGTTGGTCCCGATACGCGTCGGCTGAGCGTCATGGCCAGCCGCGTGGCAAGGGAGCCATTGCCGGATCAAGATTTGTCTTGTTTTTTTTAAAGTTTGGGATGTGTAACCAACTACCATTGATAGAACCGGAAATTTTGAGTCAAAATCTACAATTTTATGGGGATATAACCAGAAATAAAACTATTTTAATGGGATATTAGTTTTATATATAATACATAAAATCAACTATAATTGGATATGGGTGTTAATGGGAATTATTTGGAGCCACCAAAGGCGTAAACCAAACCAACCTGTAGACTCAAGCAAAACCAGATTTGTTTCGATTTTGTTCAGGTCAAAAATGACAATTTAATAAACATGAATTGGATTTTCCTTTGACATGAACTTGCGGGATTTTGCATCTGCTGCCTTTAATCTGGGATTTAATAATGTTGGTGGCCGTGACGGGTCTCACTCCCTGCGACTTCAACAGATTGGTGGACAGTCGCAATTTTCAAGAAAAAACATTATCAATAAACATTGGATGTTTGATTGTCATGTTTGTTTGCTTGATCATTGAATTTGTTGGTGAAATTTGGCCATATGTCCAAACATGTTTACTGTTTTAGCCAAAATACAAGCTTAGTTACCTATGTCCTTCAAGTGGGGCACTTAAAGCCCTCCATGAGTTCTCTGTTCCGTTGGGATTTGTGGCAAAAAATGTGGGTCACCCCTGCCACTCAATGTACTCAACCAATTGGACAAGGACACCCATGATTGCACTTGGTTCCTTGACCAATCAATTAATATCAACTCACCGGCTCCAACAGATTCACCAACTCATGGCTTTTGATCCAGTGCTTGCTTTCTTGAAGGACCCAGTGACGTCACGGTGTCGCTGTTTCAGTTTTGGCCCATGGTCCATCCCCGCGAAAGCTGAGCCAAAGCAGCGTCGGGAACTTTGGAAACATCGAACTCACACGACCTGCAAATGGCGACCCCACCCATTGCTTAATCTTTGCCCGGTGTCAGAGCAAAATCAGGTTGAGTAGAGTATATTGTTCAAGGCATGTGGTAAGTCAGATGCAGATTATACTATGCAATATTGTATATATATATAATTAATCCCTCCCCATTTTACTAAACGTGCCCCAAATACTAAAAACTAGGGTCCGAAATTTCAGACTGGCCAATTTGATTCTGAATTGATCCCCTGTCGAAAACAAATTAAACATGACGGTCGAATTTGAGGGTTTCACCCCCTAATTAAAAAAAACAACTAGTCAAACCCGGAGTGATTTTTGATAGGGTCCGTCTTTTAAGATTGTATTAAATAAGGTTTTACTTTAAGGTTGGGGGAAAGCTTCGAAATCAAGTTGTTGGCAATATTGTTTTTAATTAGATCTTAAGGAAACTCAGTCGATTTTGAAATATACTGTATATATATTGTATATAATACATTTTAGTTTTTTACATTAAGGTTTTTAATCTGAGAATAGGGGAAAGCATAAAACACATGTTTTTGGCAATATATGATATATTAAAAAAAACACCGATTTCGAAAAAATAACAAAAATAGTTATGTTTTTTCATAATAAGCTTTTTAATTTTAAATTAGGGGGAAGCTTCACACCCTACTACTAAATACCCCCTAGTACTAAAAACTCCTCCAAGTATTTATTCTTAGCAAGGGGGGCGATTTAGTAACAGGGGGAAGGGAATTGTGGTGCCAAACAAGTATCAGAGGAGGTTGAGAAGTCAAACTCCTGACCTATGGACAGCTGCAGCAACAGCTGTGAAACAGCCAGAGGAGGGGGAGAGAGAGAGAGAGAGAGAAAAGAGAGAGAGAGAGATGGTCTCAAAGAAGCGAGGAAAGAAGATCAAATTGCGCGAACAGGTAGAAAAGCCGCGAAACACTGTGTTTTTTTGGCTCGGGTTGAAAAAGTAGGCTCGCTACAGCGGCGGGTGCAGAGCCATCTGGCCGGATCAGATCAAAAATTGCACGCGGCTGTGGCACAAAGTGCGTTTCCAAGCCAAAATGCTAAACACACCGCAGGGTCGGAGCACTTTTGGAAGTTGAGCTGTCGAAAAAATGTACGCGGCTGTGCCGCGAAGACATGTCCAAGGCAACATGCTAAAAGCACCACAGGTTCGAACCGCTTTTGGACGTTGAGCTCACGCAGCTGCGGCGTTAAGCACATGTCGAAGTCAAAAAACACATGTTTGCACCATTTTTGGATGTTGAAGCGCTGTTCTTCGTAGCAGGCGCAAAGGGTTCTGCACCATGCAAAAGTGAGCCAAAGGTGAAGGTTTTGCAGCAGTTTTTAAAAAACGATGGCAGGCGTAGGACGTTTGAGGAAGATCTGCAAAGATGCATGTCGCCTGGCAGGCGCAGTATCTCTATCAGATATGTTTGGAGGTCAGACCGCAAATTTCCTGAGAAGGGTTGCATTGTGGAGCATCGCATCTCAAGGTTTGCTTAGATTATTTTAGTGACAGGTGCAAGACTTCGTATGACCTGGCCTCACTTTTTCGTGGCATGGGGCAATACTTTAGAGAGATGGGATAGAAAAATCGCACATTAGTACGAGGCTGTCAGCTCTGCGCTCAGCTTTCCACTTTTGAAGGAAGTCTCCCATAATTGTTTCCTTTCAGATAGACAGATTGATATATAACTAGATTGATAGATAAAGAGACAGAGATAAAGATAGAGAGAGATAGAGAGAGAGAGATAGAGAGAGAGAGAGAGAGAAAAAAATAGAGATACAGAGATTGGGAGAGATTGACAGAGAGATAGAAACATGGATAAAAAAAGATAGATAGTGACAGAAAGATAGATAGATAGATAGACAGACAGACAGATAGATAGATAGACAGACAGACAGATAGATAGAGAGAGAGATATAGAGATATAGATAGATAGGTAGGTAGGCAGGTAGGTAGGTAGGTAGATAGGAAGATTGATAGGTAGGAAACACCTCCCTGGAAGGAAACATCTCCCAACTGTCTTCTGCAGCATTGCAGCCATATTTTTTCTCAAACTCATCACTGGCTAGTCTCTTTCGTCTCTTCAGATCTTCCACCTGGGCCACGAACGACGAACGCTGCGAACGCTGCGCCCCGTCGTCAGATTCCCCGCTGTGCTCTCCGTCCGCGACCGTGGTCAGCATGTTCTCACCTGCGCGGCGCCAAAAACTGCGAAAGTCAAAAACTGGAGGTGACCCAAATGCCAAAGGTGTGGAAATATATTATATATATAATATGTGTGTATAATTGTGTATATATATATATGGAAATATTCAATGATTTAAATATGAAACCACGCTTTTCCATATTTTTCCCAGCCCGCCTGAGTTGGGAGCGGGTGGTCTTTCTTTACCGCCAGAGTACGGATCTCCAACATTTTTCCCAGGTGTCACTGGTCGATGTCACGAAGCCAGTCCGAAACTGTCGCGCTCAGCTTGGTCGCGATCGATTGACGGCTGCAGATCTTCCTGGGGGGTTCACCGCCACGATGGTCGTTGGATGGACCGGTTTTTGCAGCTATCTTGGCAAAAACAAGGGCTACAGCACCTGGGTTTTCAATGTTTTTGACCCAGAGCTGTTGTTTTTGAAATCATATCACTTCACCTTAGATGGTTGAAACCATATAATTGTGTATATGTAATATATATATATACACATAATATAGTATAATATAATATAATATAAAACAATATAGTATAATATAGTATAATATAATATAATATAACATAACATAATATAACATAATATAATATAACATCATATAATATAATATAACATAATATAATATAATATAACATAATATAATATAATATAACATAATGTAATATAATATAACATAATGTAATATAATATAACATAATATTATAGTGTAATATAATATAACATCATATAATATAGTATAATATAATATAACATCATATAATATAATATAATATAATATAACATAACATAGCATAATATAACATAATATAATATAATATAACATAATATTATAGTATATAACATAATATTATAGTATAATATAGTATAATATAATATAATATAAATATAATATAATATAATATAAACAATGGCATAAACCACCTATCAACTGGTGCAGGATTTCTTCCGACCACAGTATCACTCTGCCAAGCTTCCCAAAGTCTGATTTCTGTCGACAGCCTTTGTCCTTGCGAAGCTCGCTGCATCCTCAGATGCTCCATGGTGCCAACATTTACCCCAAAAAAGGGCCACATGGAGTCATGGATGACCATTTTAGTATTGAAACAACGTAACTTGAGGATCATGACTCTGGTGAAAGCCCCAAATGTAATATAAATGTAGCATATTTGGAGCATATGGGAAGAGTTGAACTGGATATGTTGACAAATTCTGGTTCCATGAGTCTACATGGACTATCCATGACTGGCACTTTGCTATGGAAAATGGCCCATTTGTTGTAGATTTACCTGTTGAAAACGGTGATTCTCCACTATTGTCCATAGCTATGAGAGGGGTCGACTCCCAATATTCCATTTAATATCCTACCCATAGGATCCATGGTGCTGGTATATATGCTAACATGACTGGGGTATATTGATGGTAAATGTTACCATATGTAGAATACATGGATCCTATGGGTATCACTAAGGATACTGGAGATATTCCAACACTAGCAATAGTCTATTTAATATCCTATCAATATTCCACTTAATAACACTAATTCAACCAATGTTTTTTTGTCCATAACATTCCATAGCTCGCCCATAGCTTAGTGAACTTAATGACTTGACACCTGGTCGGCTGAGCACACCCAACATGGCGGCTAGTCTGAAAAGCTACAGGGGAAAAGCCACAAGTTTGATGATGTGAATCATGTGTAGTTTTTTCCCCTATTGTTATGGTTATTTTGGTGGCATACTTCATATACCTCATCCTTAGACAAAGCCATGATCCCATGATCGCAACTTTGAAGCTTCAGAATATGTTCCACTCTATCTGCCATGACTTAATGAACATACAAACGAGCCCCTTTGGCTACCACACATGGCCAACATCCCCAATGAACCTCAACTAGAACACATGTGGCAGGCTCCACCGTCTGATGTGTATCAAAAGCTGGAACCCAAATGGATCGCCATCCCTTGACGGTGATTTTTTTCTGTTCCATGTATGACTTGTTGAATGGATTGTAATACATGCAGCGTTCCTAAAACCAAACTCTCGAGAAAAACGCAGCAAAGTGGAGTACCAACCCTCCACGTATTGGAAATAACCACCCAAAATGGCCCAGTCTCGCAGGTAGATGGAGCATATGAAATTATTACAAAGTGAGATCCAACGATCCAACGACCACCAAACTCGTTCAAGGAGCGACGTCGGCGCTCACCATGTCCGAGCTCGACTTCCTGAAGCCATGGCCCACATGGCCAAACTAGGGACTTGAACCCAACTTATGATACTTATGTCTATGTAATTCTATGTATATGTACACTATGTATATATGTATCAACATATTGATAATCATCTGCATGGATAATATACAGATATATACAGTACATGAATTATATATATCTTAGTTCGATCCCTCTCCTGTCACTTCTCTGCACCTGCAGTATACACAATCCTTTCCGGCTAGAAAGTCTAAAGTGCCACAAATCGATGGTCTGGTATTATAGCCACCAAAAAAAGATAGAAAAGTTGAACACCTGGAAATTCTGTGGGAAACATCATCACCATTCTGGAAATACTGTTCCATCTTTTTGAGGCGAGATGACCCCATTAAAAATACCTGGTAAACTAACAGTTTGCGAACTGGAAAATGGCCGGCTTCTAGTTGATTTACCTATTAAGATGGTGATTTTCCACAGCTATGATCAAACTCCTCCATCAACGTACGGCAACTTCGACTGGCAAAGCCAAAAGACACAATTTACATACTTTCAAGAACCATAAATGATGATGTTTATCTATTCCGACTCAAAACTCGTCTATACATGCCTGCAGCAATATTACATTAGTCAACATACACATGAAACATCTGATACATGGAATGAATATGTATACGCTCTGGTAAACAGCCACATAACTATGGAAAATCACCATCTTTAATAGGTAAATCAACTATTTCTATGGCAATTTTATATAGCTATTTTGACATAACCAGGCCGGGTACATGGAATTCTCCACGCACATGTTGTGTTGTTGCATCTTGCGGCCATAGCACATGGCCATATTTCCCCCCCATTGAGGGAGCTTATCCCAAGTAATTACCCTCTGGTGATTTAACAAATGGAAAATCAGCATTTAGTTCCTGAATTTTCCCATTCAAAAAACATGGTGATTTTCCATAGCGAACTGTTAGTTTAACAGGCCAGGTAACCTTAAGGCCGGGTAACCTTAAGGTTCAACTTATCCCAAAAGGATTTAACCATGGAATTCCATCATCCCAGGTTCCCAGGTCCCTCGTTCATCACCAGGTAATGGGACCATGGATTCCGGTCAGAACCATGACGTATGACGACATCGGTGTCGTCAATGATCAACAACCATCAAGGAGATCTAAAAAATGGCTCTGACAACATCTGGGAAAACGATGGAAAACGCAACCAACAAAGCACAGCTACAGGGTGGGGCCCCCAAGATAGCTAAGTTGGTTTATAAGTGGCTTAACAATGGTTTATGGTAGATATAATGGTTTATAAACCAACTTATAACTGGGGGGCCCCATCCTGTAGCTTATCAGGTTACTTGGGTCATCTTGGGTCTATCACAATCAAAGCACATCATATATAGAATATATAGTACCTTCTGAACACTGCTCAACGTAGATTCTTAGATATCTCATACAGTCACAGGGACATGATACAGGGGTAGACATATAACAACATATCATATAATATACAAAATATGATAAAACCAGGACATTGACAGATATTCACCATGGCAAACCCTGAATAACCTGAAACACAGTTACTCTAAAGGTTTCAACAAGACCTGACAAACTATTCCTGCATTTTTCACCTACTAAACAAAAAAAAATGCAAGGCAGCCCGTGTTGGACGTCCCATCTTCCAAAGAGGGCTAAGGACAATCATTTCAGCTTAGGCACTCCTTTGATTGCTTCAGAGTGGTTTCAGCAGCTTCTGCGGCAAGGGTGGAGCTGCTTTCTGTAGTGGGCCTTAGAACAACGCTGCCTGCTCAAAAGTTGCTGCCCCCATAAACACTCGTGAAGTCAAATCTAGTAAACAAAAATATGCTGACATCAACATTTACACTGGTACAAACTTGTTGTTCTTGTGGCACTTGACTACCTAAAAATTCTGGTCCCACATTGCAAATCGTGAAAAAAAGGAGTCAAACATAGACAAACTGGACTGCCAATTCAATTTAGGCACTCCTTTGATTGCTTCAGAGTGGTTTCAGCAGCTTCTGCGGCAAGGGTGGAGCTGCTTTCTGTAGTGGGCCTTAGAACAACGCTGCCTGCTCAAAAGTTGCTGCCCCCATAAACACTCGTGAAGTCAAATCTAGTAAACAAAAATATGCTGACATCAACATTTACACTGGTACAAACTTGTTGTTCTTGTGGCACTTGACTACCTAAAAATTCTGGTCCCACATTGCAAATCGTGAAAAAAAGGAGTCAAACATAGACAAACTGGACTGCCAATTCAATTTAGGCACTCCTTCGATTGCTTCAGAGTGGTTTCAGCAGCTTCCGCTGCAAGAGTGGAACTGCTTTCTGTAGTGGGCCTTGGTATACAGTTTCTTGCAGGATCGCCATTGCCCTATTTAAAACTCACATGGTTCAATCTTGTTTGTAAAGGCAGTGGAAAATTCAAAACATGAGATAGAGACTGTACTTAAACGGATATCCGAAGGCACTCGAATCGAATGGCTTAGGGCAACTTCAAAGGACACATAGTATGACACGTGGAAAGACTCGGACAAAAGAGAGGAGACCAGAAATTTGACGACGTGGCACTCTGGAGTCTCGAGATGCGACTGCTTGGAAGATTTCGAGGTACTTTCTGAAGGCCTTGGTGGCAGAGACCATGAGGTTTGAATGATGCATACATCAGGTATGACTCATATTTAAAAAACATTACTTACCCTGACTTACACAGTCTGTATCTGTTTGTTGGCATCTTTGAACTCATCATAAAAAGTGGCGGAAAAGGCAAAACACATGGGCATGATTCAAGTTCAAGACTCCTTTTGCAATCCCACATTGGCTTGTTGGCAAAAAAAACAGCCTTGAAGATCCTGCCTTGGGGTGATGAAGAATTGGGGGTTTTACCATGGCTTTTACCAGCAAACACTGCTTGGCATTCTGCGACTTGAAGTACTGCACCCAAGTGGCGAGCGTACACAAGCGAACTTTCCATGGAATTTTCGGAACGATTGAGAACGAATCACAATCAATCACCGACTAACCAAAGTCCAATGGTTTCCCCCCTGGTTTCCCCCTGGTTTCCCCTTGGTTTCCCCATGGTTTCCCCTATGTCAGCCATCACATATGAAGCTTGGTCGGCCGTGAAGTCGCCATTTCTATCCTGGTGACTCAGGGGTCTTCGTGGTTGAAAGTACACCTGGGCTTGGGCGAAAGTTACCATAAAGAATCGAAGGGTTGAAGCCAGAAACAATATTGATCAACATCGGAAATGTTCAAGAACCGTTCAACTCCCGTTGGGAACCCACTGATAGTGGCTATATATTCCCATTGATTGTTGCTTGAATCCAAAGGTCCATTAAGCTCTATTATCTAAATCGTTGCTTCAAGCCAACTAAATTGTGGGATGACTCCCACTGTTTTGCTGGGGTTAAATCAAATCACCCAACTTATTATGGAAGGACGTTCCAACGTACCATCCTGTTGCTAAGATCATCCGTGAATCATTTCGTTGATCATATCCGTTTTGCACTGCTTGGTTGAAAGATTAAACACCATAGACATATTTTCATAACTGGTCAACTCCATTCTTGGAAATGGTCAAATATCCGTGAAAATATCCTGGATCATATCCTTCTTTTGGAGGACAACCACATCAAACAACTGATTTCGTGCGATTTTTGTTGTTGCTGTTTTATATACCATCTGGTTATTTAACATGGCCATGGAAAATCACCCTTTTTAATAGGTAAACCTCTATAAATGGGCCATTTCCCATGGCTATGTTAGTCATAACCTGAGGGTATCTGGAAACACATCCCCGGCCAACTTCGATCACCGTCGCAATGCCACCTGCGACATCTCGACAGACGCACAAGCGCCGCGTTTCACGATGCGCCGCTTCGCCTGATGGTCAAGGCAAGATGACATGGGATTTTTTTGGTGGTTAATGCATGTAGTTGTTGAAATATGGTTAAAAACATGGTGAAATGTCCCATTTGTTGAAATATGGTTATGCATTTCAGAAATGGGACCATGTAGTTGTTGAAATGTGTTAGACAACAAAAACAACATGGTGAATTCCATAGAGTGAATTATAATGAATTATATACAGTATATAATATAAAAAAATTGACCATTTCTATCCTACATGCTACCATAGTTGTTTTTTGACAAGCAACATGGAGAATTTAGCCTCTGGTAATCAAACATGGCACGCTGAAAAATACATAGTGGATATTCCGTTGCCATGTTTGATTAACAAGGGGGGTTGTGAATTTACCATTGAATTCCGTTGAACATGCTGTTTTTTTCGCAAAAATGATGGTTTCTTCCATAAGAATTCATGTAGCAAGCTTTGGTAAACATGTTTTCACAAACCATTGGTGTTTTGGCAAACAAACATTTCAGGGAACACAAAAAACAAATCCACCCAGATCATTCACTGATGTTTAAGGGATCATCGTGTCTGAAAATAAGGTGCCCCGTTTCATCCATTGCTTCATCATCTTCATCATCATTCCGAAATTAACCAATGGAATACTCAAAAAAAACAATTTGAACTTTTATTAAGCCATTGGTTTACTTTCATTCCTATGAACTTTCCTAATATCAACCAGGGGAATTAACCAATGGAATACTCATATCAAAGATCACAACCCATCGGTTCATCATCATTGCTTCGCGGTGTTCAAAACTGTTACGTAACTCATAGGGATTCCCCTAATTGATTATGATAGCCTCCAGTAAATTAATATAGACCCTGCCAGATAGGAGTTGGAAGATCGTCAACCAACAGGGGTTCCAAGATCTTCCAAGTCCAGTACCCTCTGGTTATGTCAAAATAGCTATTGAAAATTGCCATAGAAATAGTGAGTTTTCCCATTAATAGCATGGTGGATCTTTCCATAGTTATGTTAGTATGTTTACCAGAGGTTAAATTAACATGACGACCCTGCCAGGAGTTGGAAGATGAGTTTCCACATGTTTCCACGAAATTCATGATGTTCAGGGTCCAACCTCTTAATTTACCTGAGGGTCATCTCGAATGTAGAACGATTACCCTCTGGTAAACTAACATAGCTATGGAAAATCACCATTTGGAATAGGTAAATCAACTATTTCGACTGGGCCATTTTCCAGTTCGCAAACTGTAACAAATTACCAGAAGGTAGTCCTAAATCCCCGAACTACGTTCATAGCCATTTCTCGAACGGAGGATCCTCTGAGAACCAAGGCGCAAGTGATGGGATGGTGTAGGATGTCACCATTGTACAGACATGCCTTGGACGGACAATGAAGTTTCCAGCCATGCAGTCTGTGGTGAACGGTGAAGTTTATCCATGAATAAAATTTGACAAAGGGATACAAAGGAATATAAAGGAATATAAAGGAATATAGGGACATATATATATGTATATACATATAGTGTATGTATAGTCGGATATAACCAATAATGATGTATGATACAAAGGAAACATAATATAGGATATAGTAGGATATAACCATTCATATGGGGACGTGTGGGTCTGTCCAAACATTGCTATACTATAACATCTAGCTGGGAATGTTGTGCTGGGGTCATGCCAGCTAATCTGATGGACTCCTTTCACGAGATACAGCAGAAACATGCAGAAACGGTAAGCATTATGATGAAACTGTATCAATTTGATTGATTTTCTATGAAATTCTACAAGTTTCATTCAATTTTGACCATGTTCTATCTACATCAACCACGCTTTCATTCCATTTTTCTTGACACACACCATGTTCAGATCAAAGGACCATCCATGTTCAGAAACGTTCTTGTAGAGAAAAAAACATAAATAACCAGCGTTTTTAAGCGGTCCATGTCCCGATATATTTAATCACAAGAGCAATTTATAGCAATTTCCCATGGTTCGACGAACAGTTCATAGTTCTACTTCCTGATTTAAAAAAACAAGTTGTAGTCCAGCGATCTTTTCTTACGGTAGTATACTTCCGTTGCTAATACTCATCTTAGACACCCTGCAAAAAAAAATGGTTTGCTGGTGAATACATATCATTGCAACAAAGACCTACACACATAAAGTGCGACGTACCAAGGTCTACCCCGAATTTCTGGTTCAAAGTTAGAAGTTATCTATCCGATTGCATCACCGGTTATAAATCCCCGTACTTTTGTTGGTAAATCCCTTGAAATCACTAGAATCTTTATATAAACTATACATATATATATATATATACATATATATATATACATATATATACATATATATATATATAATCCCAATTTTTCTTTGGCCAAATCCCATTGAATCCCAATGAAACCACCGTTTTTCTTAGTTTAAATCCCCTGAAAAACCACCGATCGCCCGATGAACGCACCGGCAGCGAGGCTCGCCATAGGATCGGCTGCTTCTGGAACTGGCCACGGCAGGTTGGTCCGAGCCTCGCTGGCGTTTGCACACGAAATTCGTTGGGATTGGAGCAACAAAAAAGTGTGTCTTTTTAGTACATATCATAGTTTTTCATAGTTTTTCAGAGTTTTTCTGGGGGACCATTTTTGTCTTTGAGTTTGACTTTAAGTTAAACCAAGACAATCCACCGAACACTCGTGACGGATGGTGGCTAAGCCACTCCCAAACGAGAGTTGAAAGTTGAAAGGAACATACGTGAAACCACCAAGCAACTTGATACTCAAACAATGTCAGAAACATATGGACCTCTCTCTTTGAATTTCCACTTTTGAACATCATTGAACCACTCAGCAATTCATCCCAGAACCGTTCGACCTTTTCCCCGATTGGCGTACCCATGTTGCGCTCACAACGTTCGCAAAAGAGGACCGTTCGCATGGCCTGGCGGTACAGGATTTGGATAGTGAACATGGGATATGTTTATGGAAAACCTCTGTGATTAGCTATTGGAACTCTTAATACTACTTAATTAATTACCCGTTATCAATTAAACAATCAGCATAAGTATGTTTGATTAAAATATTCACACTTGAGGGATATAACTGATATATACTGATATAACAAACAGAAAATGGTTCATTCATGGAGCATTCTGGACCTACAAATGACTGATCATTTGATCTGAAACCAGCCAATCAAAAAACACTTGGTATTGATTTCATAAAGGGATTTAACGGACTATATAACTTTTGTTTAACTGGTTGGTGGTTTTAACCATCTTGAAAAATATGAAAGTCAGTTGGGAAGGATTATCCCATACATTATGGAAAATAACACATGTTTGAAACCACCAACCAGTTAAGCTATGTCTCATATATAGTACGCAATTTCTTGGCTCAACCTAGATAAGTGCATGTCAACAGCAACACATCGTACGCCTCGCAGCTGTTGGCAAACAAGAGGTCTGAGGCCGCCTCAATGGGCACGTTGCTGATTGAAAGATTCGTGCGGTGCTGAAACCCTGAGTTCTACGGTGTAGAAACGCAACAGTCACAAGAAACAAATTTGCATGCACATCATAACATACCATATATATATATAATTATATATATATATATATCAATTAATGATCATCAAAAGTCCTTAAATCCTTCCATAATCCTAATGTCAGCATTTGATGAGGGGAAATAAAGTATCTTGTCCAAAGTGTCACTAGGGCAAGCGACTAGAACAGAGGTTGCAAGACAAGTTAGAAAGTAGAGACAGCAAACGCATGTGTCAATTTTGGTTGTTGCTTAATCAAGGAAGAATCAGTGAGACATGGGCAGATCTAAAAAAAACGGAACAAATATTAGACACCATGGTCCCTCCAAAGTGCCACGCGTTCTTGCCTGTCTTGATTTTTCTACTTACCCTCTGGTAATTTAACATAGCTATTGAAAATGGCCATTTATAGTTGATTTACCCATTAAAAATGGTGATTTTCCATAGTTATGTTAGTTTACCAGAGGGTACATGCTTTGGTTTTTATCACAATTTTCATAACTAAACTTGACATGGACCCAAGCATGTTCCAATGGAATGTGGCGGTTTTGATGCACTTTGTGGGTTGCACAGTAAAATTAGGATAGTCATATCCCAAGTTTGCTGGTCAAATCATGTGAAAGCAACATGTTTCAGGGTCAAAGTCCAGTTTGGTTGGTTGAATCTAGGAGATGTAGTAGTCAAACATGGCAATGTAAAATCATTAAATGTGGGCAACACAGTGTCATAAACAATCCCCTAGTCATCACCATAATTTCTCGGTGGTAGGTGGTTTATGATTGTTTTACCCACGTTATAGAATATTCTATCATTTCATACTTACCCTCTGGTAAACTAACATAACTATGGAAAATCACTATTTTTAATGGGTAAATGCACTATAAATGGCCATGTTCAATAGCTACGTTAAATTACCAGAGGGGAAAGACCCTCATTGAGTTCAATGAAATGTCCAATTGGTTCCCATTGAACTGTCGCCGGCATCTCCCCATGACGACACTGCGGCTGCTTCCTATCTATCCCCATTATGGTTGGTTTACCCTCTGGTAAACTAATATAACTATGGAAAATCACAATTTTTAATGGGAAAACTCACTATAAATGGCCATTTTCAATAGCTATGTTAGTTTACCAGAGGGTAATCTCCATTTTTTCTCCTTAAAATCCCCAGGTTGAAATCCGCGCATTGCAATTTCTTCCTCTGAAGAGGTAATCCCATGATATTCCCATGACATATTCCCTATATCCACATGATTTTCTGAGATTCTCATTCTGGCCAATATATATATATGTATGTATGTATGTATGTATGTGTATATATATAATACACAATGATATAATCCCCATTCCCATGAATTCCCATGAAACATTAGCTAATCATCATGTGGATATAGTTATAATCTCCCATTAACTCACATGGATTGGATTATGAATTCCCGGTTATTAGTCTCTGGTTGGTGGTTTTAATCATCTTGAAAAATATGAAAGTCAGTTGGGAAGGATTATCCCACATATTATGGAAAATAAAACATGTTTGACACCACCAATCAGATATATTATGTTAACCATTCATAACCATAACCATTGTCTCCCCCAAATTCAAACATGTTCACATTTTGGATCATTTAATTGGAATTAATCAATCATAATTGATTATTGACTCCCATTATTCTGGGTAAATTGTAATAATTCACCAACCTGAATTAAGGCCATTTGGGGATGATTCCCCTTATTAACCATGATTTCCAGTGAGGGAGAACAGTGAGGTCGTTATAATTTACCCAGACCCTCTGGTAATTTAACATAGCTATGGAAAATCACCATTTTTAATGGGAAAGTCAACTATAAATGGCCATTTTCAATAGTTATGTTAGTTTACCGGAGGGTAACTAGTAACTAAAGCTATGAACCATAAAGATTATTGGATTATTATGGAAAATTGACCATATTTATAGATTAAAAAACCAATCATAATTGATTATTGACTCCCATTATTGGATTATGAATTCCCACAATGTGGGGCCCCCTAGTCATAAATTGATTTAGAAACCCCATTAACTATAGTTATAAGTACCATAAATCATAGTTACTGGAGTTATAAACCAACTTAGCTATCTTGGGGGCCCCACATTGCAGAAACATTCCCTAGATCTTCGCCAAGTCAAATCGCAGGTCAACTCCAGGCTCCGGGCGCAGAATCCACCCCTGGAAGTGCAGAAATCGCTGCAGGACTGGCCTGTCCTGGAGCCCCCATCCGCGGGAAAGTGACGATTTGAACATGGTTTAACCCATAGAAATTCATTGTTTAGCCTGAAATTATAACAATTACCCTCCGGTAATTTGTTACATAGCTATTGAAAATGACCATAGAAATAGTGGATTTCCCACTGAAAATGGTGATTTTCCATAGTTTTCTGTATGTTTACCAGAGGGTAATACAGTTTAAACAGCATAAAATATGCATTGTTTCATGGTTTCGGCTGGTTTTAACATGTTTTAACCACCTTACAACCTGACCAGCTACTGACATGGTCGTCCTGTCGGCTGGCGCCGCTTCTTGAAACGCCTCGGTTCCGGCGATGTCCAGGTCCAGTGAGGCGAGTCTTCAAAATCTGGGAAGTTGTGGCAAAGTGATTCAAAATGACCATCATATAACATAATATATTATAATATCATAAAATATAATATAAATCATATATTTATTATATATCATTGTATATATATATATATAATATATATATATATGTCATTTACCATCCTTTTTCCCTCTCACCTAGTTTCCCTTTCCAACTCCGGCCTGTTCAGCACCAAAAGACATCTCCCAAAAACACCCAAGGATCCACACCTCCGGTGCTACGGGTTCCGCAGGCAAAGGCCGCAGTCGCGCCTCTGGTTGGCTTCAACTGTAAGATCATCCTAGGGGTGGTACCACTAACCGCACTACCCGGCCTGGTAAACATACAAAAAGCGACATGGAAAATGGTGATTTTCCCATAGAAATACTGGATTTTCCCAGCTAGAAAATGGTGGATCTTTCCATACTTATGCAAACGTTTACCAGAGGGTAACCAGACTGGCTCCTTCCAAATCTCAAGATCTCATTGGCCAAAACCTCTTTGGATGGCGATCAAATAATCAGAATTTCTAATGATCCTGTGGCAAGCCATGGCAGAGGAAGCCTTACCAATCTTCAACTGCGTGTTTTGACGTGGGTTGGCATAAACATACGTATCACTCATTTTCACGAAAAAAATGTTGGTAGTTGATACATCTGTGCATGTAATCATGTACAATACATCCCACATCATCACCAAATTGCCTACGTCTTTTCACATGAATCTAATACATAATTTTGTATCCGGTTTTGTATATCCTGTCCCATTACAATCTTCTAGCTAAATTATAGTTAACATTATTTCACTGACCTGAAAAGGTCGCAAAAAAATGTAATTACCATGCAAATAGATACCTACCCTCTGAAAAATGATGGAGTTGGGATGGTGACATTCCCAACTGAATGGAAAGTCATGAAATTCCATGGTTCCAAACCACCAACCAGTAGTAGGTATCACTATATATTCTACATATATTCCATATATTATAGTAAAACTACAATAAACCAATGGTAAATACCTATAGTTTTCCCCTTAATAGACATTGTTCACCAGCTGATCGTTACCTACCTCTTACAATTCCCCATGCACGCGGCGCGGTGAGGAACTTCAGCGCCGCGGCCTTGACGATGAGACGGGAGGAGGAGGCCACCAGAAACAAGAAGCCTGCGGCCGGCCGCGAGACACGGCCATGTGCATGGCTGCTGAAACATGCGCATGGCAAATGTAGGAATATACTGGGTTAAAGCAGAATATACTGGCTATACTATTTAAGGATTTATATTTATCATATATCATAAATATATTGTCTTCATACTGGGTCTTCTGTAACTTTCTTTTGTTATGATTGTAAAGTTCGTTTCTGAATCGTCGAATGGAATTTTGCAACGAATTCTCCAGCCTCGTCCCCACACCAGCTTGCTGACACCCTCCAACCTCGAGACTTCAGGTGGAACTGAAAGTTCTTGGAACATCTCCCCCAATACCCAGATGCTCCACGTATGGTATATTTACCTACATTTGGGTGATTTTTAGGGCAAATGTTGGTAAATATTCCATACGTGGAGCATATGGGATATGGGCTAGTTAATAAGGGGAAAATCATGGCAACACACTGATACAATGAATATTACAGTAATAATGAAATCCGCCGACCCCTGCCTTAGCCAAGGCAGGGGCGGCGCCTGGGACCACCGCAGGTGTGGAACTTTTTTTCGTTCCCAATGCTTTGCACTTTCCACGAGCCACCCAGGCCATAGCACCCTCTGTTCACCACCCAGGAGCCACTCAGGCCACAGCAATTTCTGTGCACTTCCCACAAGCCACTCATGCCACAGCAATCTCTGTTTCTACGGCGTTCCAAAACGCAACAGGCCGCGGCAGACCCTGTGCAGTTCCAACAAGTCCCTGAGGCCGTGGCAGTAAAGAGGTTCAAGGCTGCCGTTTGCCAGCCTTCAAAACTCGCCAAAACTACCCAAACCCTCCCCTGCAGCTCCCAGGCGCCACTCAGGCCGCGGCAGACCTTTCCTGCAGCTCCAACAAGTCCCTGCGGCCGTGGCAGTGTCCTTTTAAGGAGGTTCAAGGCTGCCGTTTGCCAGCCTTCAAAACTCCCCAAACCCTCCCCTGCAGCTCCCAGGCGCCACTCAGGCCGCGGCAGACCTTTCCTGCAGCTCTAACAAGTCCCTGCGGCCGTGGCAGCGTCTTTTTATGGACGTTCAAGGCTGCCGTTTGCCAGCCCTCAAAACTCCCCAAACCCTTCCCTGCAGCTCCCAGGCGCCACTCAGGCCGCGGCAGACCTTTCCTGCAGCTCTAACAAGTCCCTGAGGCCGTGGCACGTTCAAGGCTGCCGTTTGCCAGCCCTCAAAACTCCCCAAACCCTTCCCTGCAGCTCCCAGGCGCCACTCAGGCCGCGGCAGACCTTTCCTGCAGCTCCAACAAGTTCCTGAGGCCGTGGCAGTGTCCTTTTAAGGAGGTTCAAGGCTGCCGTTTGCCAGCCTTCAAAACTCCCCAAATCCCAGGCGCCACTCAGGCCGCGGCAGACCTTTCCTGCAGCTCCAACAAGTTCCTGAGGCCGTGGCAGTGTCCTTTTACGGAGGTCCCAGGCTGCCGTTTGCCAGCCTTCAAAACTCGCCAAAACTCCACAAACCCTCCCCTGCAGCTCCCAGACGCCACTTAGGCCGCCGCAGACCTTTCCTGCAGCTCCAACAAGTCCCTGAGGCCGTGGCAGCGTCTTTTTAAGGAGGTTCAAGGCTGCCGTTTGCCAGCCTTCAAAACTCTCAAACCCTCCCTGCAGCTCCCAGGCGCCACTCAGGCCGCGGCAGACCTTTCCTGCAGCTCCAACAAGTTCCTGAGGCCGTGGCAGTGTCCTTTTATGGAGGTTCAAGGCTGCCGTTTGCCAGCCCTCAAAACTCCCCAAACCCTCCCCTGCAGCTCCCAGGCGCCACTCAGGCCGCGGCAGACCTTTCCTGCAGCTCTAACAAGTCCCTGAGGCCGTGGCAGCGTCTTTTTATGGACGTTCAAGGCTGCCGTTTGCCAGCCCTCAAAACTCCCCAAACCCTTCCCTGCAGCTCCCAGGCGCCACTCAGGCCGCGGCAGACCTTTCCTGCAGCTCTAACAACAAGGCTGCGGCAGACCTTTCCTGCAGCTCCAACAAGTCCCTGAGGCCGTGGCAGTGTCCTTTTAAGGAGGTTCAAGGCTGCCGTTTGCCAGCCTTCAAAACTCCCCAAACCCTCCCCTGCAGCTCCCAGGCGCCACTCAGGCCGCGGCAGACCTTTCCTGCAGCTCCAACAAGTTCCTGAGGCCGTGGCAGTGTCCTTTTACGGAGGTCCCAGGCTGCCGTTTGCCAGCCTTCAAAACTCGCCAAAACTCCACAAACCCTCCCCTGCAGCTCCCCACGTAGGCCGCGGCAGACCTTTCCTGCAGCTCCAACAAGTCCCTGAGGCCGTGGCAGTGTCCTTTTAAAGGAGGTTCAAGGCTGCCGTTTGCCAGCCTTCAAAACTCTCAAACCCTCCCCTGCAGCTCCCAGGCGCCACTCAGGCCGCGGCAGACCTTTCCTGCAGCTCCAACAAGTCCCTGAGGCCGTGGCAGCGTCTTTTTATGGACGTTCAAGGCTGCCGTTTGCCAGCCCTCAAAACTCCCCAAACCCTTCCCTGCAGCTCCCAGGCGCCACTCAGGCCGCGGCAGACCTTTCCTGCAGCTCTAACAAGTCCCTGAGGCCGTGGCAGCGTCTTTTTATGGACAAGGCTGCCGTTTGCCAGCCCTCAAAACTCCCCAAACCCTTCCCTGCAGCTCCCAGGCGCCACTCAGGCCGCGGCAGACCTTTCCTGCAGCTCCAACAAGTCCCTGAGGCCGTGGCAGTGTCCTTTTAAGGAGGTTCAAGGCTGCCGTTTGCCAGCCTTCAAAACTCTCAAACCCTCCCCTGCAGCTCCCAGGCGCCACTCAGGCCGCGGCAAACCTTTCCTGCAGCTCCAACAAGTTCCTGAGGCCGTGGCAGTGTCCTTTTACGGAGGTCCCAGGCTGCCGTTTGCCAGCCTTCAAAACTCGGCAAAACCCTCCCCTGCAGCTCCCAGGCGCCACTTAGGCCGCGGCAGACCTTTCCAGGCCGGGGCAGCGTTTTTATGGACGTTCAAGGCTGCCGTTTGCCAGCCCGCAAAACTCCCCAAACCCTTCCCTGCAGCTCCCAGGCGCCACTCAGGCCGCGGCAGACCTTTCCTCAGCTCTAACAAGTCCCTGAGGCCGTGCAGCGTCTTTTTATGGACGTTCAAGGCTGCCGTTTGCCAGCCCTCAAAACTCCCCAAACCCTTCCCTGCAGCTCCCAGGCGCCACTCAGGCCGCGGCAGACCTTTCCTGCAGCTCTAACAAGTCCCTGAGGCCGTGGCAGCGTCTTTTTATGGACGTTCAAGGCTGCCGTTTGCCAGCCCTCAAAACTCCCCAAACCCTTCCCTGCAGCTCCCAGGCGCCACTCAGGCCGCGGCAGACCTTTCCTGCAGCTCCAACAAGTCCCTGAGGCCGTGGCAGTGTCCTTTTAAGGAGGTTCAAGGCTGCCGTTTGCCAGCCTTCAAAACTCCCCAAATCCCAGGCGCCACTCAGGCCGCGGCAGACCTTTCCTGCAGCTCCAACAAGTTCCTGAGGCCGTGGCAGTGTCCTTTTACGGAGGTCCCAGGCTGCCGTTTGCCAGCCTTCAAAACTCGCCAAAACTCCACAAACCCTCCCCTGCAGCTCCCAGGCGCCACTTAGGCCGCCGCAGACCTTTCCTGCAGCTCCAACAAGTCCCTGAGGCCGTGGCAGTGTCCTTTTAAGGAGGCTCTTATTTCTTTTTTGTTTTCGTTGTCTTTTTCTCGGGAACGTGCCACTGCTTGTTGTGACATGGTTTTCCCGATGGCATGTCATGCTTGACAGCAGTGCGGCCACATGACAGCGATGACCAAACAACAGTGGAGCAGACCGGGCAACTGTGCGCATGACGCCGTGTCTGCTTGCTGACTTCACCGTCCTTGACGTAAAATTGATTGTTGCACACAGATCGATGGTCGATTTGCCCTGTCTTCACGTTGCTGTTCACAAGTCCATTGCAAAATGGGCACTGGTAAACAAAACTTTTCTTTGCGACAACGCCGTCCCGTACCGAAAATTTGTACCCACAGACACCCCGATGGTTGATTTTCCCTGTCTTCACATTGCTGTTCACAAGGCCCTTGCAAAATGGACATGTGTAAACAACAGATTTCTCTGCCACAACACCGTCTTTCACTCGGAATCGCTTCCCGCAGGTTCGCCGATGATCTACTTCCCCTGTGCATATTCTGCTGATCACTGACTGCGCGCAAGTAGGACAGACATATTTGAAACTCTGTCCCCTCTGCGTTGCTTGTCGTTTCTTTGCCGGCAAAGTCTCCTCCTTGCTGGGCTTGCTGCCTTCCTGCCTTTTACCTGCTTGCAAGGCTCTCTGCTTTTCTTCGGCGTTTCCTGTCTCGTCTTTGCGTTGTTTTTCTTTTGGTTCTCCTTCTTGTGTTCTGGCCTCCTCCACTTCTCTTCTCCGTTTTTGTTCTGTGCTGGCATCCTCGGCATTCGCACTGGTCATTTCTGCCCTTTCGTCTTCTCTCCGTTGTTTTGCCTCCGGCTTTGTCTCGTGCGTTCGCGTGCCCTCCTCTTCTCTATTCCGTTTTCTTTCCGCAATGGCAGCCCAGACATCGGCGATGGCGCGTGCCTTTGTTTCTTCCGCTGCCCTCCGCGCGACTTTCGCCTGCGTTGCCGCTACCCGCTGTACTGCTTTGCTGATGCTTCCCCGGGGAATGGGGCACTGCCAGCAGTTGCTACAGACTTGGTCACCATTACAAGAACGATGTTGTGCCAGCCAGGATTCAAAAGCGCACGCTGCTTGCTTTACCTTGCAGACGCTGCATCTCCACCAGCCCCATGCTTTACCCGAACAATCTAAACACACTCTACCGCCCCTGCGTGCTCGTTTCCAGGCCCCGACAGAAAATTTCTTTTCGTCCTTGCGCGTATTGCAAACACTACACGCTTGTGTCTGTTCGCACGTCTTACAAATACGATAAAATGTGGCTTGTGGCCTTGCATGTTCTGTCTTGAATGCATCTTCCTGTTTCCACGCCGTGCAGGCCATGCATTGCCACGGCTGCTGCGCCTCAACGTGCCTACGAATGCATTCCTTGCATACTCTCGCCGCATCTGCTCGTTTCCATCGACCCGCCGTGAATGCAGACGCCGGCTTTGCTTCATTACATTCTTTGCATTGTCTTTCGTCTCGGTATTTCGCTCGCAGCGCCCTCCAATCCATTTTTTCTCTCTCTCTCTCTCTCTCTACCGGACCACCCCCAATAGGGGGGTCGGCGGCACCAGGGCGCTAGCCCATTCTATAAACATATAATCGGATATGATATGTAACCAACAACTGGAAAACTAGTTAACTAGTGGAAAGTCACCCCAGTAGTTGTTGATTTTGATTGGGATTCAGCCAACGGTTGTGACAATCCCCAGTATAAAGACAAGGTAACCTCGAACATATCATCGACCAGCGCCGATTTTGAAACTCAGGGTGAAGGATGTAGCCAGGATAATCTTGATTGGGATGTGAACTACTGTGGATGGTTGCGAAATCCTGCACCAGCTGATAGATGGTTTATCACTTTTTTTAAAATAAGGTTTCAACAATCCAAGCTGGTGCAGGATTTCGCAACCATCCACAGTAGTAATGTGATAGGGTAAACCCATAATAATCCCCAATTCTGACGGAAATAGATGGTATAAACCATTCCCATCCATGATATGTTTATGGCATTAATCCCACATTATCTATATGGGGATTAATGCCATAGGCTTGGAGCATCTTGGACCCACAAACTTCAGGGCACAAGGTGATAGGATGGGATGCAGATGCAGATCTTTGGTGCCTGAAGACTGTTGGTAAATATTGGTACCCTCTGGTTATGACTAACATAGCCATGATATAGATGGCCCATAGAAATAGTGGATTTTCCCAGCTAGAAACCTCCATTTATTTTTGGGATTTTCCATGGCTATGTAACAAATAACCAGATGGTAAATAATACAGGGGATATCTTACAACAGCAAATCACTGAGAAATTTCCTTTACGGAATATTTACGGAATATGTACTTTTGGCGAGGCAGATTCACGTGCTGTTTCTCTTTTCGTGCGCCTTAGCATTCACCATTGACCTCAAATACACTCGTTCTTTCTAGCAGGAAATTGCCATCCCCAATTTTCACCCACCATTCACCTAGATGTACCCCACCATTCACCATTCATGTACATGTTTTTTCCATATATTGCCGGAATATTTACTTATCAACATTTACCTCCAAAACAACATCGTTGTAGGTAAATATACCAGCACCATCGTCACCATGGAGCATCTGGGATTGTTTAGATGCATTTTTGCATATTTCAACCACCATTTGCCTCCAAAAAAAATGATCCCAACAACTGATTCCACTATTTTGTATGGGAAAATCCACTATAAATGGGTAATTCCACTATTTTTCATGGGGAAACTCGCTATAAATGGGCCATGTTCAATCCCAAAACTGCGCCATATCTGTGTCGAGCTTCAAAGGACCTTGTCCTGTTTCCGGAAGTTGAAGATACCGCGCCTAAGGGCGGCGTGGTGAGGAGTCTTTATTGAGTGTAAGACGAGCTTCGCATTCGTAGAATACAATATAGTTGATATGTAATATATATATATATATATGTACATTGATAGATAGATATATAATAGAACTACAGTAAGATATGTCTAGATATGTTTAGAGTCGCTGGGCCAAGTTGAAGTTGCAGAGGTTGACCAAACTCATTCCTATCCATGGCGTAACTTCAAGCGCTAGATACAATTTGAACAATTGGATGTGACATACTGTTCTAATGGTAGATTGGAGCATACTATACTTCATCAATGGTGTTCCATACATATTATGTATATATATATATATACAGTAAATTCATAAAGAAACATGTCAATGATGTTCAATCCATAGATCATAGAGTTCTTCCCATCTTGATATATCTTGATAGATGAATACCATCAATACCCAATACGAGAATACTATCAGGTTACTATCAACATATAATTAGATGAACCATAGCAACTTACGATAAAATCATCTCCGCACTGCGACCTCCGAATCTCCGCACTGCGACTGGGGATCGTCACCAGGAAATTCCAGGTCCCATCGTTGTCTGGCTGCGAACTTTGGTAATGAACACGCCTGAGCAGGGAACTACCCGAACTACCCACAGACTTAGTCTTCTTGGAATCAGGGGTGATCTTTATGGTTATAACAACATGCTATAGGCTTTTTGTCATTGGATTGGTTTTCACAGGGAACATCTTAACCGGAAACCCATGGAGAATTTTTTACCGCGAAATATGGGGGTTTTCACCGGAAAATCCTCCAGCTGGGATTTCAACATATCGCCCCTCTGAGTTGGGACATGGCTGGCGCATGCTGGCGCAGTGGAACCACTGCACCCCCTACCGTAAGGGAAACGACTGAAGATGCCACAGGTCGATTGAAAGAAAAAATGGTCACGGATGACAGATGTGGGATTTGAATGATTTGAATGAAAAATGATACGTTTCTATGTTTTTTTGGGGGGTTACAGTAAAACATAGTAAAACTAGATGATGACCTATTGTCTTTTGATTACCTAACAACCAAAGATAACTGGCTGCCTATGTCCGGTGACGTTGGCAAAGTTGTCAAATGTCATAAAGCCGGCCGCATCTGCCCTCAGCAGTTGCTCTGAACCATAGTATCTCCATTCTTAACAGGTAGCAACTATATGCTTCAGAGCAATGGGCGATATATTCTGAAAAAATGATTAAATGGATATTAAATGGATATATTCTGAAAAGATGATTAACCATAGTTAACCATAGTATCTTCAGTTGAATCATCCAGCTATATCAATGAACCATGGATGCCATGGCAAGGCCATAGCGCTAGGATCAGATCCTCAGGGCCAGGGCCCCACACCAGTTCAACTCCAACGTGGAATCCTGGGGCAAAATATGTTACCCTCTGGTAAACATACAGAAAACTATGGAAAATCACCATTTTTAATGGGAAAACTCACTATAAATGGCCATTTTCCATGGCTATGTTAAATAACCAGAGGGTAATCAATCTGGGGTACCCAACGTAGCCGTGTCTTGTTTTGGTTTCAGGAAACACAACATGCACAAAACTCGAATTATATCTAATTCATCTGGTATTTTTGAGTTTTCATACTCATCTTAGGTAATTTCATGATCAAATGTGATCAAATGTCATTCCCTGTGGAGTTCACCGGTGAAATATGCGGCTGGTCACGGGATCTGAAAGTATCCCAAGATGGGAGTCAAACATGGCTTGAGCCATTCCTGGCCTGGTAAACATACAAAAAGCTATTGAAAATGGCCATAGAAATAGTGAGATTTCCCATTAAAAAGGGTGGATCTTTCCATGGCTATGTTAAATTACCAGAGGGTATCCAATTCTTGAGGCATCATGAACTATATGGTGCTAAGAGCAAGCGAAGGATATCGAATGCTTCACTGGCAGTCTTGTTTCAAGCTACAATTCATCCTAGTTTTGTGAAACTACAAATAAGTAGATTTCGATACGTTCAGGGGTTATTACAATACATTCAGGGCTCATGGAATTGAAAGAGGCTATCATCTATTTAATAGTAACAAGTAAAATGTACCCTCTGGCAATTTAACAGTTTGCTATTGACCCAGTCGAAATAGTGGATTTTCCCATTTTTCACATGGTGGATCTTTCCAGTTCGTTTTCTGTTAACGTTTACCAGGCCGGGTGCTATGAACCAGCTGAACATCGGTGAAATCCCTGGGGTCTCCAAAAAATTGACCGGCCATCAAGGTAATGGAATATCCCGACTGAATCTGGTTATATCACTAAGGATACTGGAGATATTCCATTAACACTTACAGGGTGGGGCCCCCAAGATAGCTAAGTTGGTTTATAAGTGGCTTAACAATGGTTTATGGTAGATATAACTATAGTTAATGGGGATTACAATGGTTTATAAACCAACTTATAACTGGGGGGCCCCATCCTGTACCATCTGGTGATGTTTTCGGTTTCGGTTAGTGGAAAATCACCATATCTGAAATGTAGCTACAGTCAATCATCATGTTTATCATCTATAAATGGGCCATTTTCCATAGCCAACTGTTATATCAATTAAATAACCAGAGGGTAGTTTGGACAAATGGTGATAGAATGGATACTGATGGATAATGTAATCTTTGGAATATCAGTGATAATATCCAAATCATATTTCCTATGATTATTACTATCCCAATGTTGTTTCATATGATATTCCAGTAATTTCCTAGTGATAATCTCTTAATATTTCCTATGGGGATATTCTCAATCTGGTAATGAATATGACTTAACATAGAAATATCAGGAGAAATATAGTGATCATATTCCAGTATCCTAGTATATATATATATGACGTAATATAGACATATTGGATATCAATATGGTTAGAAATATAGTAATAATATACCAGTATCAATATCCGACAAATGTTTCCTATGATTTCCAATATTTTCTAGTACCAACATCCCAATCAGTGATAATATCCCAATAATATGTCCCATGGCAATTGGGATTATAGTGATAATATTACTATTATTTGGATTAATCAGTATCCATCAACCACTGTATCCCTATAATATTTCCTATTGATAATATACCAAATATCAGGATTATATCAACATATTTCTCCTGATCTTCTTCTCCCAACGTCCCGGCAGCGACGTCCGACCCTCATCTTGATCGGCGAAGGCAGGTTTTTCAGCTCTTCCACCTCTCTGCCCGAAAGGTGTTGAAAGGTTGGTTGGATCTATTTCATGGGAAAACATGGAAAAAAACATCATTTGTAGATGAGAAATATGGAAATATGATATGAAATATAATATATATATATATATACACATAATATCATCGAAATAACGCCCTGGTTTGACACTGTTCGGCATCTTCTTGCTGCTTAAACTTTTGTAGGGGACAAGAACATATAAGAAAAAACAGATTCCCTGCTCCAAAAAACGATTCAACAAGTCGAGGAAAAACCCTGGTGCTCTTATAGATGTTCGCTTGAAGCAAATGTTGAATGGAGTGGTCTGTCTAAGCATAAAACCGACAGGAAACTAAGGATTTTCTGGGTATATAGATTATAATTCACAAACCTGAAAGGCTTTATATTGGGGATCATTCCTTTTATTCAAGAAGTGAGGTCGCGACGTGAGATCGTGATGAAATATGATGCATCCCAGCTACCAAAGTGGCTTCCCGCAGATCGGTGATGAGGCGTTCCAAATAGACCTGCTGAAGCCACGACTTTTGGGGAGCCAAGCTATTCACATTCCAGGAAGGGGAAGTGGCTAAGAAACATATGTATGTATTTTTTTTAGTTACATATGGAATATCCCCAAATATATATATATACATATATTATAAATGCTGAAACATCACGACCTTGCCATGACTTACGAGTTGGAAAACTCTGGGGATAGCAGTTTCCAGAATCTATGTGTCCTAAGAACCCATGGTATTCGCCCTGGAACAACGTGGGATCCCCAAAACCAAAAAGGACATGTGATTGCCCAAAATTGTTTCAAGTTGGAGCAATATACATCCAATTTCAGAACTTTTATCCCACCACTATCAACATATCAACATATACCAAATCATTACAACAATATATCAAATCATATCAACATATGGGTATGGGTCAAAATTAGGTACCCCAATAATTGGATGGTTAATACTAAACTAGACATTCACATCTGTGGTCCCCTTAATGGTCTTCCATTTTGACCCACATCCATATATCAACACTTCTATCCCACCATTTCCATCCATTTCCCTCCATTCATTTCTCTCGGACGCCAGCTGCGCTTGGGACTTGAAAAACACGAGCCTCTGCAGCAAGTCGACGAAGGTCTCCCAAATCCTCGCTCGTTAGGGAGCCATGGAATCCACCGACCAGCAATCATCCGTCCCCACTGCTGAAATTCCCGACTAAACCATACCCAGATGCTCCATGTATGGTATATTTACCTACAAAACTGGGTGATTTATGTTGGGCAAATGTTGGGATTCATATTCCAGCACCATGGAGCATATGGGATACTAAACCATACTAAACCATGGTTTCGTTTGGAAGTGGAAAATATGAACCGGTGGATGGGATTGGGATTCCCCAGTCATGGCACCATCATAACCAAACTGTAGAAACAGCAATGAATGCCTCAGAGATTGGTCCGTAAGAGCCAGTGAGCACTTCAGGCAGAGACGACACTCCCAGCTGACAAGCTGAAACATGTTTTGTGGTTCCAGGCTCTTGAATGTTCGACCAACACAGTCCCAGCTCCTACCAGGTTTCTTCTTTCTTATGTACCCTCTGGTAAACATACAGAAAACTATGGAAAATCACCATTTTTAATGGGAAAATCCACCATAAATGGTCATTTTCAATAGCTATTTTGACATAACCAGAGGGTATCTGATACCACCATTCCCTCGAGTCCCCCATCCTCGATGCAAATCTGTCCAGGGAAGGCGACAAACCAATCTTCTTACATGCCGTTTTTTTCCAGATCCCATGTATGATAAAGCAAATATAATGTATATTATATATATAATTTAATTCTATATGATTATATAATTTAATTCTATATGATTATATATGATTCTATATGATTACATATGATTCTATAAATGATATACGTGTATGTATAATAATTAGTGTGATATAACCTATCTGGGCATGGGCAAAACAACCAACAAAGGTCCAGTTTAATATATGATGGTGTATGTCAATATCAATATGACTTAACATGGTCTGTAGTGGTCAGTAGGTCAAAAAATGCAGTCACCAGGTCTGCCGAGGCACCGCATGATTCAAATCTCCTCAGCGACAACGGTCATTCCAACAGCGCGCCCCAGCGCGCCATGAACCATGGGAAGTGCAAAGTCCAAACTATGATCTTTGGGACTGGTTGTTGGTTGACCTACCCCTCTGAAAAATATGAAAGTCAGTTGGTATGATTCTTCCCAAATATGGAAAAATAACATTCATGTTCCAAACCACCAACCAGATGACCTTTGGGAATTTGGGGTACAACATGATACAAGCCGTTTTTTGAATGCCCGAAACGTCTCATTGACACATCATGTGGTGACCTTTGTATGGAATATACGGTAGGTACACGTACCCACCAATCGAATCCATGGAGCTGGACGGTGTGACTTTCGATCATTGTTCAGGATGAAATCCGAGGTTTATAGCAACAAACCCATAGGATCCATGGTGCAGGTATATTAATGCTAACATGACTGGAGTATATTGATGGGATCCATGTTACCATATATAGCATACATTGATCCTATATGATCCTATGGAAAACGTGAAAAGGGTTATGGATGGATGCTTATGCGCCAATTCATGTGGTTTTCACAAGCCAACTATGTTCTTTTCCTACTGATTCCGCAAACCAATTCTAATTCGGACTGGAAAAAACATGTTCCTGCAATGTTGGATGATTTTGGATCTTCTCAGTTTTATGGCTCATTTGTTCCCTTTATATGTTGAATGTGGAGACTAGTCGTCAGCTCCATCAAGGACCCCCGACTTGCTGAGCTGACAAAGATGGAAGCACTCTGAAGGTTCCTGGCGACGTATAGACAGAAATGGGTCATTCCGTTGGTTTAAGGGGAAAAAACGGGAAAAAACAATGGTGTTTATGTTGTCTTCTGGTCAACCTTCTGTGAAGTTTTCAGTAAAATCTACCGTTGTTTTACCTAACTCTTCCCGGGTTTCTAGTACATTCTCGTAGCAGTTCTGAGAGAGTCCAAATGTTCATTCCTTGATGAATCAATGGTCAAGTTTAGATTTTACTCATTTGTCATAAAAAGTTAGCGTTGTGTTATGGATTCACCCTCGGGAAGTGTCGATGTGGATTCAACTAACACGGGGAGTTCGATCACCAACATTCGTATCATCCATAGCTCTTTCAGCTCAACGCGACTTCCCACTTGTTCAGTTAAATAGGGACAATGGGTAAACATGGGGCCATCCCAATGAGTGACCAATGAGTCAAATCGTGGTCAATAAGTCAATGAGTATGAATAGCATCATTAGCGGACTGGGTTGAAGGGAAAAAAACTATCATAATCTAAAATCAATCATAATCTATCATGATACCTTGGTTTTACATTCTTTAACCATCTAAAAATAGAGGGTTTCAACACCCCACGTTCTCAAACCAAGTGATCCATGGAAATGATTGCCTGTTTTTGCCACGCCACATAAAATCCATCCTATGTGGTGTTCAAAAAAACAACAATATGATACTACTCGAAGTATGCAAAAAGGATGGATATTATGATCCAGAATCGTATCATATTCATACCACACTATGACCTTTGAGTATGTAAGATGGTTCCTACTCAAAGTCTCAAACGATTTTGGGTCCTCAAAGCCAACTTACCCTCTGGTAATTTAACAAAGCTATTGAAAATGGCCATTTATAGTGGTTTTACCCATTGAACATGGTGATTTTCCATAGTTTTCTGTATGTTTACCAGAGGGTATCCATCACTGTCTGTGATTATCGACCACCAGTTGCTCACATTTTACCTGCCTAGTTAAAACTATTCACAGCCATGACATTGAATGTGTCAGTGTAAATCATAGCTTTTCATCCCCAATGAGCGTAGATCAACCCTGAACTCTAGTTTTCCACAAGATCTGGATATCAACCGTCCCCACCGACTCTTCAGAAATTCCCATAAAAACTATATAGATTTACGCCGTATCAACCGCAAATTCATAATTCTTGGAAACTATGAGAAAAAAAACATATATAGATACAGTGATACAGATATAAATATCATCAACTGTAGATGATATACTGTACCATCCCCATTGTATCAAATACAAATTATATAGATATCATCAACAAGATATCATCCACCAACAACTATAGATATACTACCCGGCCTGGTAAACATACAAAAAACGAACTGGAACGATCCACCATTTTCAATGGGTAAATCCACTATTTCAATGGCCATGTTCAATAGCTTGAAGGTATGTTTACCAGAGGGTATCCCCATTGATACAAAGTATATATATATATACATATCCACCATATTATGTATATATCCAACTATTATAGATATACTTAGTATAATCTACAATATTCTCCATATAGATCTGGGTAAATTATAATATTTCACTAACCTGAATTGTTGGGCCATAAAAGGGGATGATTCCCCTTACTAACTATGATTTCCAGTGAGGGAGAACAGTGAGGTCGTTATAATTTACCCAGATATCTGGAATCGATATGGGATATACTGGTTTGTATAGTGGTTTAAATGGTTTATAATGGTATAAAATGGTCTATAAATGGGCCATCTATACCATGGCTATGTTAGTCATAACCAGAGGGTTGATATGTATATATCTAGTACTTAGTATAAACTACAATATTCTCCATAATTATAGATATACTACCCTCTGGTAATTTAACATAACTATTGAAAATTGCCATTTATAGTGAATTTTCATGAATTTTCCCATTAAAAATGGTGATGTTCCATAGTTTTCTGTATGTTTACCAGAGGGTATCCCCATTTTTTTGAAGGCCAAAACCCATGGAGCCTCCCAATCTCCATCCGTTGTAATCCGCCGCCGTCACTGAGGTCTCGAACGTTCGCTCCAGACGCACGCGTGGGAGCTCCGGGATGATATTCCTGGAAGAGTGGAAGGCGCGGAGATCGAAAATCCACCAGGGGATGCAGGTTGGAACATCCCCTGGAAAAAAATGGGGAAATCTTTGGAAAAACTGGGGCAATGTGTGGAAAAATCATGGAAAATATGGAAAACATATGGAAAATATGGAAAAAACATATGGAAAATATGGAAAACAAATGGAACATATGCCAAACAAGGTGGGAAAATATGGAAAAATAATCAGCTTTGGATAATTTAATTCATGTTCGATATGGCTAGATGGTATCTTTAACCTATTCCAACGCCCATCAAATGATAGTTGGAGTTGAATATGGTTGTATATATATATAGATAGATAGATAGATAGATAGATAGATAGTTAGATAGATAGATAGATAGATAGATAGATAGATAGATAGATATATGTATAAATATATACATAAATTAGTAATGTTCAATTTTGCGTGACACTGTTCCAAGTGGTAGCGTGGCATTTTGTTCAGAATTCAGCACTTTCAGCAGCATCCCCATTCGGGGAGGGTGAATCAATTCTTGGGGAGCAGTGAACCGTGAACTAAGTGGATACAAAACCATAGTGGCTATAGGTCAAATATCATGTTATATGATGTTATATCTGAATTGATTCTACCATATGTTGCTATAGTTGTAGAGGTTATATCCCATTTTTTCTAGATTTTTTGTTTTTTTTCTACCATGGCAAAAAAACCTCTAGCGCTGCCGAGCAATTTTTTTCTCCTTTCCGAAAAACTCAGGCCCCAACTGTTTCCCAGCAGTCACCTTTCCTGGAATGGCGGTGTTTGGGGATACCCTCTGGTAAACATACAAAAAACTATTGAAAATGGCCATTTATAGTGGATTTTCCCATTCAAAATGGTGATTTTCCATAGTTATGTTAGTTTACCAGAGGGTAATAATCATTAATACGGTGGGTGGTTGCGAAATCCTGCACCACCTTGGATGCTTGAAACCCCATAAATAATGGGATAAACCAGCGTTTTCAACTGGTGCAGGATTTCGCAACCATCCACAGTATCACAATGGGATAATATGAGATATGTAATAATCATTACTGGAATTAATAATATGATACATGTAATGGGGATAATAATCATAATACTAATAATAAAAATAATGATGATAATAATAATAATAATATAATAATAATAATCACAATATATTAAAAACAAAAAACATGTGTCATTACATATCTCATATTACAATAATAAATAATGGGTTTTTACATTGTCATATTACTATATATAAAAACATATAAAAACCCATTTATCATTTCATTATATATAATCCACATATTACAATACTAATGGAATACATGTGGATAATGGGGATAATGGGAATAATCCATGTGGATTGCATTACTAATGCATGACTTTTCTGGGAATCTCAGAAGGGAATCTCAGGTTTCCCAAAAAAAATCTGGGAACTCATGGGACGATGATGATTCTGCAGTACAAAATTCCATGAATTCTGTATGAACAATATTGAACAATGACAATTGATGGAAAAATTAAGAAGAATCCCATGTTTTTTTTGCATTTGTTTCTATGTGAAATCAATGATAAATCCCGGAATCCATCTGGAAGAGCTAAAGATCAAAGCCATGCCATGGCCCATGGCTAGTTCGATGATAAAAACAGAACAACCATGTAAGTTACCTGTTACAAAAATGTTGTGTTTTTTTTTCTCCAGTTCCAAACATGTTTTTTTTACAGAGGCTAGTGGCAATGGGATTCACTGACACTCGGAATGGCATTTTTGATCATTGGGGGGAATCATTGGATTTTCAAGGGAGATGATATCTGGGGGCCGAGCAATACCCTCTGGTAATTTAACAATTTGCTATTGAAAATTGCCATTTATAGTGAGTTTTCCCATTAAAAATGGTGATTTTCCATAGCTATGTTAGTTTACCAGAGGGTACCCATAAAATGGATTGAAATGGCAAAATGTCAATGACCTGACCAGCAAATTGCGGGTAGTCATGGAACATATGATGATACATCTGACGAATGGTTGGACTTTCTCGGGTATCGATCTTATTTTCGGGACACACCGTGGAATGTTGAAAAACCAGTGAGCATTGGTCAAACACCCGCGTCGTCCGTTTCTACTGGTTGAGAACAGGTTTCCCCCAATGGTTTAATGGATTGTGATTCTCCAATATATAAAGGGTAGCATAATTCCCCACAATCATCCCATTAGTTACTGGTTGGTGGTTTCAACCCCTCTGAAAAATATGAAAGTCAGTTGGGATGATTCTTCCCAATATATGGAAAAATAAATTTCATGTTCCAAACCACCAACCAGGTTAATATAGTGTAGTATAATTTGCCACAATCATCCCATTCCCGTAATATCAAGTTATATCCGATATACATATCCCCTTGGGATATCCCGTTGCGATATTCCCGTATGATCATCAACCGAGGTTTTTGAACACTGCCACGTTGTACCTAACAGGTGCCGAAATACCAATCTGACTAAAACAGATATGTAACATGAATGGCATCATGGATATTATAAGCAAACTAAGAGCAACCTCTTTTTGTGTGTCAAGACATCCTTTTTGCATATTGCGTTAAGTAAATTTGTTTTGGATTATCGCAAACCACGGGATTGATTCTACAAAAAAAAGTTTTGGAAGCCACCAGTCAATAAAACTGTTATAATTAATTAATTACCATCAACCATAATCAACCATTGTTATAAATTAGTTACCAGGGTATTATTAGTTAATTGATTAATTACATAGTACTCTACAATTACCCTCCCGTAATCAGACCTGGCTGATGTTCATGGATTTTCCCAGCTAGAAACCCCATTTTTTTTCCAGGGTTTGATTACCGGAGGGTATCCAATCCAATTCATTGTTGGATATTGACCATTAATAACCATGAATAACCATTAATAATTGTCAATATTGGTTATTAATGGTCAATAATATATATATATATACACCATTAATCACCAGTAATATACATATTATATTAACCATTAATAACCATCAATAACCATTGTCTCCCCCCAAAAAAAAACATGTTCACAAAATTTGGATCATCTTGGCATCTCCCCAAAGCCCCACTCAGAAATCGGTCGTCGCAACACTCAACCGAGATTCTGAGATGTTTCTGCCAGAAATTCCGCGGCCAGGCTGGAAGCAGCTGGCCTTGGGCTCAAGAAAAATCTTGACATTTTGGGTGTGTCTCAATGGATGGGTTTAAGGGAAAATTTACAGGAAAACTCCGTATTTAATGGGAAAATAACTATGTTTTCCTGTAGATTTCCCTCAAACCAGTTCATTGAGTGTCTGAAAATGTGGAGTCACTATATGATTTATTCATAGTTATTCGGATTACCAACAAAATATATGAGATAAAAAAATGGGATATTTTATGGGATATACAACCAAGAATATGATATTTGGAGTACCCAATCCCTGTTGTGCAGGCCATCTTTGCTGATTCGCTGTGAAAACACAAAATTTGATGACTTTGCAATATGCTGACTGTGCCAACGTTCCAATGTATTTCCTTACTCCGAATGATCAGTTTATCTGCCAAAATGCAGCATGTGGCTACTGGAAATCCCAGACAGAGAGGAGGCGAAGCTGTCTAAATAAGGAGACGAGCAACCTTGCAAATCTTGCCATTCAATCTGTGAAAAACAAAAAATAACTTTGTCTACGTTAGAGGACCGCAAACTCAATGGTATCCAATGGTCAAGATTGATCAATATTGGTCAATCATCAAATCGTTAAAATAACCATTTCGTGGGCATGCCACATTTTCAGACGCTTTGTCAAAAAATAGCAGCATTGTCAAGTTGGTCAACAAATAATCTCGGATAATGTCAACCCCGGATTAATAACCATGGTTTATGAAAATTAGTGGGGTACTCCTCCAATAGTCATTTCATCTACTACTTTTTTGTGGTACCCTCCCAATTAAAAACAGCCGTAAACGGGGTTTATTAATCCAGGGTCGACATTACATGGATACATAGATAGATAGATAGATATTCCTTTTCATCTATTATGTGTATATATATATAACTATAGAAAATCACCATTTTCAATGGGAAAATCCACTATAAATGGTCATTTTCAATAGTTTTTTGTATGTTTACCAGAGGGTAAATCTGAGTTGTTTGGTTCATCAAATCCCATGAAATCTCCAAATCCTCCAACCGCCATCGGTGCATCGGCTGGGCTCCGCTGCGCATGACTTCGGTGGACACCATCCATACGGCACCCGAAAAGGAATCCACTCCTGAGAACCCGCAGAAACCACGTGGTTGATATGAATTATGTATGGTTTATTAATGGTTAATACATGGGCATGGTGATTATGTATATATGGTTTATTTAATGTTCATCATGTGGATATAGTTGTAATCTCCCATTAACTCCCATTATTGGTTTATTAATTCCAAATTATTGGTCTGGTTGGTGGTTTGAACCCCTCTGAAAAATATGAGTTCGTCAGTTGGGATGATGACATTCCCAACTGAATGGAAAAATACAATTCATGTTCCAAAGCACCAAACAGGTTTATTAATGTTCATTACCAATTCTGCATGGTTATTTTTTGGTTAATAATATATGTGTATATAATTATATATATAATGGCTATTGATGATTAATATAATATATAACCAACAATGAAGTGGATAAAGGGTTTATAATAACCACCTATGAAAATAAATATCATATTCCCCTTGGATTATGTATCATTATATATCAGATATATCAGATGTTTCACAACTATATTACAAAATTTATCAATCCAATTCATTGTTAGTTTTATAATCCATCTAACCATCTGTTTTTTTTTTACAATGGTTTATTACCAATTCTTCATGGTTATTGATGGTTAATATAATATATAACCAACATTAACCAACAATGAATTGGATGGGATACCCTCTGTCATCAAACGTGGCTAGCTGGGAAATTCCCAATCAATGGAGGTTTATAGCTGGGAAAATTATCATGGGGGAAGTGTCCATTGCCATGTTTGATTACCGTAGGTATATAATGGGCATATAATGGGGATAGAATAACTAACCCTAGTACCTGACCGTGAGGCAAACTGCAAGCCATCTCTTAGCAATTTAACATCCGATCATGATGATGTTTAAGTCTTACAGTGATGATGTTGAAGGCAAGTGAAGCCTTATGGAATGTATCTGCATGTAAGGCAACCTATCTTTGACAATTTGACATCCGAGTTGCCGTTTCTTTAAGTTGCTTAACTAGACCCCAAACATGATACAATCAGCTAATTGATCTAATAAACATCTCAGTTCTTTGAGCAGTATATCGTGTTGTAATGTATTGTACATATATGTACCATATAACTTATATGTATATCATATTATAAATACATATAATATATAACATAATATAATAATATAATATAATACAATATAATATAATATAATATAATAATAAACATATGTACCCTAACGATAGTCACTCCATTCTGGTCAACCCCAAGCGGCGCAGCAAACGTTGCGCGTTGGCGCTGAAGGGAGCGATGGCGTTCTCGTTCCAGGCACTGACCTCTGTGGATTGGTCAAGGTTCCTGTAGAACTTTTATAACCCACATTTCATCCCATATATAAGTGGTGATTTTCAATGTATATATATATATATGTATGTATATGTATATATATGTGTATATATATATGTGTATATATATATATATGTCTAGAACTTTTATTCTGACCCATTTACTAAGTGGGATGTATTTAGATGATGATTTAAATGATGATTTTCCATATATCACTAGGGATTTTTGACCATGTGCTAAGTGGGATGCACCCCCAAGTATGTGTTCCCAGAAAACTTTGGAGAACACATTCATGAAATAGGATTCTGGATTTGCCGAAAAACAAAAAAAACCTAGTTATTTATGGTTACTGGATAATGATTATTTTTTGGGACCTGTATATTGAATATTCATGAATCATTCTGACTAATTCATGCATTCATGCGATTAGGAATTTACTGCAGGTTGGGAAATATTACCCTCTGGTAAACTAACATAGCTATTGAAAATGGCCATTTATAGTGGATTTACCCATTAAAAATGGTGATTCTCCATGGTTATGTTAGTTTACCAGAGGGTATCATTCTGGCAGTCTTCATGAAGACTACTGTAGGACTACACTGACTACGCATGGCACTGCAACATCCTTCACAACTCAGCGATACTCGGCGCACCGAAAAGATGTCGTCCCATTTCAGGATCTCCTGAAACTGTGCGAAGTACAGCAAGATGTCAAACCTTGCGCCGCTTTTGCGAAACCTCCCATGGGATGAGGAAGTGAAATGAGATCCGAAATGACAAGTTCACTGAGAAAAAGAATAAACAAGACTGTTCAGTGATGATAAAGGTATGTATATTAAGTGTAAGACATATATGATATATGTAATATTATATACATATGGTGTGTATATATATATGGTATATATATAATATACATATTATATATATATATATTTATGATATATATATATAATATAATATATATATATATATATATTGTACAGATGGAGAGAGGATCAATCATTCCAAGAATTTATATTCTTGGGCTTCACATATGTTACTTCACATACTGTATCAATTCACAATTTCTGTTTCTGGCGCGGGCCTCACGCAGTTTTCATGGTTCAAAAAAAAAGTCAGATATGGAATCTTCCCACTTACAATATCTGGTTGGTGGTACACCTATACCCCTCTGAAAATTATGAGTTCGTCAGTTGGGATTATTCTTCCCAATATATAGAATATTAGCCAATGGGAAGGATTATCCCAATATATGGAAAGTCATCAAATTCCATGGTTCCAAACCACCAACCAGATATGGTATGAAATACGGGTTGTGGATTGTAAACCACGGATCGAATAGCCCAAAAAGCTTTCGATGTCGAGCGACGAAACTACCATGTCTTCTTCCTGAGCCGAGGCACGGAGAACAACTGGTCGTTTCATGATAGGTTTTTCATGGGATTTGACCCAGAATTTAAGCCATAAAATCTGAAAAATCACCGTTTTAATGCGATTTTTATGATTCAACCAAGATAAATGGTGATTTTTCAGATTTCACATAGGATAAAACCCTCTGATAAGTTCACAGCGAAGTGGAACATGGCCGGCCCATAGAAATAGATGTTTTAGCCATGAAAAAGAGTGATTTTCGATGTTAAATTCCCAGAGGGTAATCAGATTTATGGATGATTATGGGTTATCCAAACAAGTATTGTATCGTACTGTTCAACATGTCATATGTCATATAGTACCCCCAGAGGAAATATATAGAGCCCTTGTCCAGGTAAAACTCCTCGTGCAGTAACCAACACAACGGGCTTGCCGTCGCGTGAACGTGTCTAGACTCGCAGAACAGAAAACGAGCCGTTTCAGAACAGGTGAATGTCTTCAATTATCATAAACCCCGAACAAACTGGGTAGTATAAGTCCCGATATTAACCAATCGGGGTATGTTTAATGGCTGTTGTTTCAAATGAAAAACATGAGACCTCCCAGACGCAAGCCAAGGCCATGCCAACACACCAACTCATTGAGCTACATTAAATAACCAGAGGTTACATCAAATTAAAACTCCAGTTGACCTTACCGACCATACCCACATTTGTTGTTGACTGTTCTTCAATATTCCCACTTTTGATGGTGACCCCTACCTCTTTTTCCTGCTTAAATCCCTCATATGATTTGAGCCATCATGCGCCATCTGGCTTTGTTTAAAAATAGGCTATCCCCAATTCCGTTCAATGCATAGAACATCATAGAAGCACTGAAAAGAAAAACATCATAGAACATCATAGAACATCAATTCCATTGCTTTTTTATTGAACCTCATTTTGCCACCCAAAAAAAACACATGACTTTGGTGCTTCACTGAACTCCATGATTGGCCGATCCGGATCTGAGGACCGTTCCAAGATGATCAACACGCTCTTGTCCTTAATGGGACCTTCGATGGCATGTTGCAACGCCATCTTGTAGTGCAGCGCCTGCCACGGCGCCATGGCATTGCCAGTTGCGTCCCCCAAAAATGGATGGTGAACTGGAAAAAATCGAACGCAATTTATAGGACCATTGGTACAACATGTTTGTCTCATGTGGATGTGGTGTTTAATTATGTTTACGTCATCTTTGGGACATGCACATCTAATGCTATGGTGGTGCCGAAGCAGTTAATGCTTCTTTTCCAGCTGTTTATGGCTCATGCTTAAATGGTCAGGACCTTGCGAAATTCCGGCGCTGGCACCAGGGGTATGGTTCCAACATGTTCCAACAATTTGGAAGCCTTTGTCCCAAAATCATCCAAAATCCACCTCAATCTTGGGAAGTCCCAGTTGAAACCCATGATTTTCCATGCTTCCCAGCATGTCGCGTCTTTGTTCGTGGTGCAGCTACCAGCTGAGACCAACTGGTCGGTGATATCCCTATGGAACAATGATCGGTACCATCTGAGAAGGGTTCCCTAGCAATGGGATGGGTAAGTGTATGACTGTATGCTGACGATTGGATTCATTCTGGATAATTATATGATATATATATATATATGTATATATATAATGTATAATATATATATAATGTATATATATATATTTATATTATATATAACGTATATATATATATATATGATATGTGCACCATTTCATTGGGTACCATGTTTTGTTTACCAACAAACATCGCCCGGGGGGCCTTCTTGCAAACCAACCCCAAGATCCCACGTACAGTTTCTATTCAGTTGTTTGGAACCATGCTTGGGGGGTGCATATGTTGCACCCCAATGAGTAAGCGATTCAGAATCCTTCACAACTGATATCTCCCACATATAACTGAATTGTAATATGGTCTATGGGCAACTTACTGGAATGCACATCCAAGTAGGTTTTTCTAGGAATGTTGTGCAACCACCACACTGCCAACTTCAGAATTGATGACCTCCCAATGTCTCCCAGCGGTGAAAATCATCCGCACCTCCTTTTCCCCCGCCGACTTCACGCCTGCGGGCTGAGAGGGACCAACTCATCATATCAGTGGCAGTATACCACTATATACCAAGTGGCAAATCATGATACCTAGCAGATCATATCTCTAAATTGCCATAAATTGCTGTCTCCAAAGTGCTGGGAGACAGGTCGTAATCCACCAAGTAAGATTTGCAGGAACGGCTTTGGAACCATCATAGTCGCATTGAAATGATGGTAGAATGAATTTGAACCAATCATAACCAATCCCACGCCCGAATATTGATCATCTCCATTTTATGGTCCCAAACCATGTGTACCATGTGGTAATTTGCCACATAACCATTTAAAATCACCATTTTAATGGGTAAATCAACTATTTCTATGGGCCATTTTCCAGTTCGCCAACTGTTAGTCATAACCAGTGGGTTATTTATCTCCTACTAAACCATGGTCAATTGGGGGATGTTTCAACAGCACCGTGGCTGGATGGATGCCGTGGCTCCCTGGCTCAGCCGAATCTGAACCATCAAGGATCACAGAAGCACCGCTTCAAAGCGCTGGCTTTGGCCAAAAAAATGGCCACTTCTCCCATTTCATTGACATGACATCGTGAAATAATTGGGAATATGAAGTTCTAGACAACATCACAATCATCATATACTCATTCTTATAGGTACTTGGAGGGTCTAAGTAGACATTTCTAGGCCATCAGATGGCGGGTCTGGAATCTTGCCCGGCACCTGTGTCAACTTGCCTCCAGCCCACGTGAAACTTCTGCGCCTAGTTTTACTCAGCTGGGAGGAGATCAGAACAAAATGTGTGGGTCTGAAAAATGGTGATTAACACCACACAATTGTGGCAAATAAATAAATGTTTGATTAATCATTAACACCATTAACACCATTAACACCACATTTGATGAACACCACAATTTATGGCAAACAAATCCGGAAGATGATGATCCAGTAGATTTAGGTGGGGATATCACTGGGATATTGCGACCAAATACTTGCGAAAAAAAACATAGGGAAGGAACATCATCGAACTTTGGAATAAACACATCATAATTATCATATCTGTTGGCTCCCACATCAAATGCGTTCGCCTATGTTCGCCTTTAATGAACGACTTACTCATACTCACACCTCCCTTGGGAGAGGCACTCCCAGAGCCCCAATTCATAAACCAAATCTGCAGTATCAGGCTGACAACTGGAGAAGCGCACGGGTTTGAGACCAAATCCAATGACTTAAGTCACTTGTCATTTAACAATAGCCATGGTATAGATGGCCCATTTATAGATGATGTTCCCATTAAAAGCTCCATTTATAAGGGATTTTCCATGGCTATGTTAGTCATAACCAGATGGTAAGTCACTTGTCATCCCCATTCAAAAGACTGCAAGAATTTTGGGTATCCCATGCTATCGCATCTCCTATTTTAGAACACTCAGATCACCAGAACTGGATCACACCGCAGTGGAGTCACCCTTCCACGTGAACCACGTGAACCACGACTGTCCAGGGCCCGACACCATGATTTTTGTTTGAGTCCCATCGCCATCCTAGTCGTGGTGGCTATATCCGGAGGGTGGTCATGAAACACATCTGGCTATAGGAGGCTTCCGGCGTCTGACAAACATTACGGCAAGACCCTATGGTTTGCCCGCAAGGTTAGAATGGAGTTCAAATATGATCCTTCGACATGCTCGAAAACCTGCGCAGGGCCAGTGTTTTGGTATTTACCAGACGACGAACCCTAAACCCTAAAACCCTAAAACCCTGAAAACTCTGAATCCGAAAGCAGAAAACACTGCGTATACGCGGTCTTTTCTACCAATTTCTCTTCTCATGGTCGACTGTTCGGGAATCCAAAAGATGTTGCAGTCCGGGCCACGGGGTCTGTGCGTAACATTAGTTGACATTAGTTGAAATATCAGTTGACTATGGTCAATGTCCACATCGGGGAGTCAAAAACTCTCCCAACCCGGGGTCTCCTGCGATACCATGACCATGTTCTTGTTGTAGCCATAAGCCTTCGGCGGAGCGCCCGGCGGGGCCCGGCGGGAAAGGTGAAAGTCATGGTAAAGCAATGAATATATCTATGGTTATATCTATAGTATTATCTATGGCTATATGGTGTTATTTCGTATATCTATATTCATGATTAATGTGGGAAAATAAACCAGCCATGACTGGGAATGGTTTCTACATACCACCTATAAAAATGGTGAGTCATTGGGGATGGTTGTCAGCAGCCAGCCTTTGACAAAGCTTGCAAACACCTCTCCAACATCCGGGGTCCTTGGCCGCTGGCATCCGCTGGCCGTCAAGGTACACTTTAGAGACATGGGTTGGTCAAGAAATGGGGGATACCCCGAATGTTACCCTCTGGTTATGACTAACAGTTCGCCATGGTATAGATGGCCCATAGAAATAGATGGTTTACCTGTTTAACATGGTGATTTTCCATGGCTATGTTAAATAATCAGATGGTATGTGAAACATATGAAACACTGAGGAAAATTGCCTTAATTAACAGAGATTGGGCTACCTTATTTTCAGACAAATCCACATGTCAATCCGTAGAAATCCCAAAGCTACGCCTGACATGCGAGTTTTGTCCCACAAATAGGGTCACACTCACATCGGGAAGAATTCTCCAGGTGATGGATTCTACAAAGCAACAAATACTTAGGTAGATTCTCATCATCTTCAGCATTCAATTGCATTTTTGTTGAGGGTTTATCTCATGTTCTTCCATTTTCAGACATATTCAAATATAAAATCATTCCGATTCCTTCCCATAGACCATAATATTGACAATACGGCAAAATCCCAATTCGTATCGTTTGGTCATATGCCATTTCTGGGTAAGTTATTCCATAAACGATGTTCGTAAAGCAATGTCATAAACTGCTTAAACTTCATAAACCACCCATATCTTCATGGTTTATAATGGTATTAATGGTTAATACATTGGTTAATACCACCAAAAAATTGTAAATTTGGGGATGGTGGAGTTTACCATTGCTTTACTAACATCCAGTAGCCGCAGCCTCCACCCCCAAGTCGATCCGTGCGGCTCTGTCCGCCAGCCACGACCTCTGAGAAAAAACGGGCATTTTGGAAAATGACTTCTTGTTTGGAATCAATACTGTTTCGCCATTAGTATATTACAGGTATAATAGTATGTATATATATATACACATCATAACTAATATAACTAGTCATAACATGTCATAGCGAATGTTTCAAAAGTTGAACAGCACACCAAGCATTGATCTTTCCCGTGGTAGCATCACACGTTGGCCATTCCATAATCTCACTCATCTCTCCTGGCGATGTCTATTCCATATATTTGAAATATGGAGATGGGTCAAAACCTATGAAATCATCAACATTTAGTGAGATGAACATCCGTTTACATCCATTCACCAGCTATTTTGGGGTTCATTGGGTACCAGGGTTTTGACCCATTGCCTCTTGAAATCATCCATGGGCATTCCATATTCTGATGGTCTGAATCGCAAACCCGCGCGTATCTCTTGTCAAAGGAGGTGAACCAATGATTCAATTACCAGGCCGTGAGCTCCCCAATGATTTTTCTGATCGGTTCAACAACAAAAGTGAAGATCTATCAGATTTATCACTTAAAGTTGTCATAGAAGTTTCATAGAAGTTTCCAATAATTTTCCATCCCCCTAATGATGAAACACCAGAAACAAAAAAACATTTTTTTTTAAGGGGGATGAAATATGATGAAACCACGACTGGGAGCATACCGTAAGATGATAGGTGGTCATGGTTTCATAGGTGATTTACATTAATTTACATTGATTTGCATTGAATTACATTGATTTACATTGATTTACATTGATTTACATTGTCCCATATCTTCACCTCCACCTAAAATCCACCGAAATTCATCACCAGGCATTTTACCCTCTGGTAAACTAACATAACTATGGAAAATCACCATTTTTCATGGGTAAATCCACTATTTCTATGGTCATTTTCAATAGCTATTTTGACATAACCAGGCGTTTTAAGTTAAAACCCATGGCTTTCATAGGCATCCCATCTCTTACTACGGGCTCCATCCGTCGTCGTGCGACAAGCACTGCCAAGTCTTGAGGCTTCAGGTCTCGCAGGGCTGCGGGAAGGACGACACGTCCCTGGGGCGAGGTACCAGGCGCCGGGAAATTTCCTTTGGAAAATCGAGGGAAACAGATGGGCAGCCCATATCCCATGACGGATCCATGGTGCTGCCATATATGGTGCTCCATGGATCCCATCAATATACTCCAGTCATGTTAGCATAACCAGCACCATGGATCCGTCATGGGATATGGTTAAAATCGCCTATAACTGGAGGATTTAGTGGACCAACACTCCAATGATAGATCCGAGGGATCCGGGGAATCAAAGATGGGAAATTCTTGCGGAAGTTTTTGTGAAAATCATCCAACTCAAGTGGGTTTTTCGCCATGTTTGACTCCCAGAGGCTAACATGATTCTAACATTGGAGTAGAACTTGGATTCTAACATTGGAGTAGAAATACGTTGGTTTTCATTGGAGAAATTTCCGGATAGGATTCGAAGTCTAGTGAGTCTAGTTGGTTCGAATCACGCTGGGACTTCCGTTGAGTTCAGGGAATCACCATGTGGGTTTTGCCATGGCCCAGCGGCCCAAACTTGGGGGGATAACCCATACAGAATTTTTTGATCAACATGGGGGAAGATGCACAAATTCCAATGTTGGGTTGATCATGGTTACCCTCTGGTAAACTAACATAACTATTGAAAATGGTCATTTATAGTGGATTTACCTGATTTACCCATTAAACATGGTGATTTTCCATAGCTATGTTAGTTTACCAGAGGGTATCCCCCATATTCCCCCAATGTTTGTGCATTTCCCCCATATTCCCCCAACCATTGCTAAAATTTCATCAACCATCAAAAAAAGGGGCTTCTGAATTGCACAAACATATTGCGAACAGAAAAAGCCAACAAAATCGACGATAAGACTATCAATGCAACCAACATTGATCTGACAGGAACTCTATTCACCAAAAAAAGGCATAAAAATCTGGACGACGTGGAACAACAGTTATAATAAGTTCTAACTGCCATGTGTTTTTCTTCAACTTGGCAGTTTCCTCTTGAGTACTTTCTGACCAAAAAAGTAATGATGTCCGTTGCAGAAAATGCGTGTCAGTTTGAACCCCAGGTCCGCCCGGAGTTCAAAGATCGAAACAAACACCCAAACATCATCAAGCATCGTATTTTTTCTAGCATACAAATTATAGGTTTCACTTTGTTTGTTTCAATCATTGCGTATGTTAATCCTGCAATGACCAAGATTTTACAGTGAACAACTACCCTCTGGTAAATTAACATAGCCATTGAAAATGGCCATTTATAGTGGATTTTCCCATTAAAAATGGTGATTTTCCATAGCTATGTTAGTTTACCAGAGGGTAGGTTTTGTGGTCCCGTTCTGTCCCACGAGGGGAATCTTCTCCAGAAGTTCCAAGGGTTTTTGTTGGGTCAAAATGTTAGCACCAAGACGCACCAATGAACCCAAAATATCCCAAAATGTGCTCAAAAAGTCTTGTAAACCATCCATTTCGCGATTGATCGTTTTTTTCCCCGAAATCACCTACCCTCCGGTAATTTCTTACAGTTTGCGAACTTGAACATGGCCCAGTCGAAATAGTTGATTTCCCCAGCTACATAGCATGGTGGATCTTTCCAGTTCGTTTTTCTCTTAACGTTTACATCGTTTACCGGGTATCCGAAAACCATGAAATCCATGAAGTTCCAGCCCTTTTTGGGTTCATCTCAATCAACTCCAGGCGTCGCCCCGCCCACCTGATCCACCTGTGTCGTGCCATTGCCGCTGAGCGAGGCGAGCTGTGGCGAAGGGGAAGATGAGATGACCTGCATGAGGTGATGTGATGCCCGGGGTCAAATATGGGGACTTTGAAATTTAAGGGCCATACATCAATTTTAAATAATGTTAAGTATTGTTTGTGATAATTTATGATGATATACACATACATTCCATTCCATTACATTCCATTACACGACATTACATTACATACATAGAATTGATGTATATCATCTATTTCTACAGGGATATAGATGGGTATAATTGATATGGGGTAGTGTGGGATGTATGTGAATAATAATGGGATAACATAGGGATATCCTGGGAATATGATAGGGGGTATGATGCGGAATTCTTATATTATGGGGATATTGTGCATCATGGAATAAAACCAACAAGAATGGGGCTACGAAACAAACCATTATATGGCATGTTTTGATGGTGATAGAATGAGATGCAATATCAATGTTATAGTCAATGGTTTGGTTTAAGGGAAAATCTACAGGAAACCATGGTTTTTACCATTAAATATGGGGGTTTCCTGTAAATTGTCCCTTAAACTAATCCATTGATATAGCTATGTCATGGCAATGATGCTGAAATCTTCGCACAAATTGTTGGATACCCTGGTGCCGAATTTACAAACAGTCGTGTCCAGGAAATGATCTACCATCATCGTGGTTTGTTGACATCTATGTGAACTTTTTCTGTAACTTATAATTAGATATGCCCAGATATAACTAGATATTTAGCTAGATATGACATTATAAAACTAGATATGACTAGATGCTGTAATTATAATCATTTTTTTATTGGCTCCGAGGCTCCAATGATTTTTCCATCATCGACTTCAAGAAAAAGCACGACTCATCTCCACGACTCTTCGCTGCCTTGCGTTTCACCGCAGCTGCCAAGCGTACTGGTTCTCGACCTGGATCAAAAATTGACTGAGTATCATCCTCCTAGGCAAAATCAAAGATATTTGAAACCACGAACCAGATATGACCAGATGTATGGCGGATATATATAGTTATGAACAATGTTATTTCTAGTTCAATGGGCATCATCATTTAATCAACTTTGAATTGAATGAGTTGGCGTATAACTACAATCCCTGTTGGATTGGTTGGTATAATTTATCTACATCTGAATCATGTGAGAAATGCGTGAAACAATTATCCAACTCAGAAGTCTTGGAAGGGAATATATCATGATATACATTGATATACCATCTGGTTATGACATTCACAGTTCGCCATGGAAAGATCCACCATGTTTAAGAACGGTTTTTACCCAGGTAAACCATCTATTTCCATGGGCCATCGAAATCCCATGGCGAACTGTTCACCCTTGACCATCATGCTGTGGGGCATGTCTCACTATGACAAGTTAAGCCGGCCGACCCGTGCCAGCTGGGGCAAAGTGATCATGTTTAGATTTCTTCGTATCATTTTCAGGTACTAAACCATCAACATTAGGATTATGTAATCGACCAACCTTGTTGAGAGTCAAGTGTTTTGGCCCAGGCATATGGGTTTTCCGGTTAGAGATTGATGGAATGATAGAGGGCCCTTTGGGACCCGCATTCCTCATTCCTTTGGTGGGACTTCGTGATGGCCCCCACAATCACAATGGCCCCCAGATCAGGCGGAAAAAGCAGGTCGGTGCTGCAAATGCACAAGCGCCGGGTGCCCAAATGGGAGGCATCGCAACTCAAGGGATACTGGCCTTGGAAACGGGATGAAACGGGGACCTGTCCTAGACTTGGAGATGGGTTGGTTTAAGGGAACATCTTAACCTGAAACCTTGTTTTTTTAACCAGCAATTTTTCAGAGGTTTCCTGTAGATGTTCCCTCAAACCAATCCATTCAGACTAGTTATATAACCTGTTTGAAGCAAATTATTGGGTAATCAAGTGGGAAATCATCTACACATCGCAAATGATTTATCATCTGGAACTGACCATGGGCATTCATGGGAAGAACCCCGAGCATAAATGGGAGTAATGGTTCTTGTCTCTGATTGCAAACCCCACCCAACCCATGATGCTACATGAATTATTATATATATATATACCACCATGTACCATGATGAAGAACAGTACGAATACCACCATATATATATATAATAATTATATAAGAAACTTGTTTTGTGGCTGTTAGTGGGGCTGGATGGCTTACAAGATATATATATATATACCACCAGTATACAGAGAATGTCATGAAGAACATGGCTCAACTGTAGCCAGGTACGCTACCTCTCAAACACACCCAGCAGCAGGGCATGGGAGCCATCGCGCCAGACAGCTGAAGGATTCACCCTACAATAAACGATTAAGATTCGCCCGTATGGTCCCTGGTGCCTCCCAAATATCAGTTGGGCTACATACACCACCAGTAACTATATATATATATGATAATTATATTATATAGAGCATTCACGCTCTAGCGAATCTACTTATCAACATTTATCAATTGATCAACCAACTTACCCTCTGGTAAACATACAAAAAACTATGGAACATCACCATGTTTAATGGGAAAATCCACTACAACTGGCCATTTTCAATGGCTATTTTGACATAACCAGAGGGTAGCCATCATAGATCAACTCAAATTTCCCCCATCTTTCATTGGTTACATCCCAATGGCTTTCCTGCTCCAGGATGCTCCAGGCGTCCCACCAGGCGTCCCAGCCCAGGTTGCCGTTGTACAAACATCTCCCCGCCTTGGGACCTTGTAACTCCTGCGAACGGACCCATTTTGGCATGGAAAAGACAACTCTACCATTTTATCATCTTATGGATGGGTCCCATTTGGTGAATCACATGATGAATCACACATGAATCATAGATTAGATGTGACCAAAAAAATCATCCAAACGTATTTTTGGAAAACAAAAAAACACTTGGAAAAACACGGAAAAACCATCCGAATCGTTTCCATTCCGAATTCCATTGGATACACCATGTCTTTCTGGTGCGAAAGGACCCACTTTGGCCATTGGCAACCAAGTTTGCTGCTTGTGTCTTCGGGCAAATTGTCCAAATGATTCCAAATCAGAAGTAAATCCCAATCATGTCCAATCAATTATAAATCAAAAGGACAGCTATTTTGAAATGATTCCATGACCGTCACAATACACACGCGACAGAAAAATACCACGCGACGCTCCTGTGCCGGTTGATCTGGTCCCTGGTCCGCTTCGCAGCGCCTTCCGGTTGAACCAAGTGGATCCAATCATTTCAAGAGTTTTCCGAAAAGATGAGATACATGTTGTATG